TGGGCTTTACTTGAACTGACATGGTAAGTTTGTAACGGTGCATTTTTGTGTCCACTCAACCTTTTAAAAATTTGCCCCCCATTCAAGGCAGGGCACAAGTTACAATTATCTTCTTGCAAATATGGACCTTGACTTAACTGAAACATGCCTATATATTTATTGATACTTACATTACATAGTAAAGCATAAATCTTCCACCAAACACATATTAAAACTAAGATAAATTAATATTACATGTAGTGTTACAATTATTCATAAAATTTCTCATATTATAATTTATAGTGATGATCACGAAATTCTTAAGTAGGAAGGAGTATATTTAGTGCTGAATTTGATCGCTAAAGTTTTGGAGCAAGGAAGTCAAAGTGTCCTTCATTTTGTATCCAACTCCACCTTTATTAGAGAGATTGTACACAAATTGGTCTATAAAGATGGTCTCTCTAGTAATCAAGGCAAAACTACACGGATTATTTGTGACATTTAGCCAACTCTCTATGAATAGGGATGGAAACAGATTCCCAACGGGGAATATCATGAAGTTTAAAACTATTGAGTTAGATGATAAATTCAGATACTGTAATTTGGTGAGTTTTGAGAAGTGGGTTTCTGAAACCACCCCTTTTCAGAGAGTTCATGCCAAAATCGATTTGTATCAGTTGGGACATTTGGCCAAGACTTTCAAGTATTCTTCTGCTTAATCGATTGGTATTAAGATACAAGAATTTCAAAGATGAAAAGCTCGTAAGATTAGTTAATGACCCCGCAAGGCCATTCCAGGAGATATCCAAAAACTCTAATGAGTTTTGAGCACACATAGGCAATAATTGAACAAACTTGGATAGTAGTCCACTGAGATGATTGCTTTGAAGCCACAATGATTGCAAAGTACATAGCCCAGCAAAAGATTTCAGGTGTCCTCCTTCAATCTGGTTATTATCTAGATAAAGATCTAACCATTTCGATTTTCTTAGGAGTTACGGACTGCCTATATCTTTTTAAGTGCCGTATGCTGTCTTCTCGTTGATTGGTCAAAAGGAAAAACTTGGTCGTAGCAATATAGGGTAGCCTCTACTACTTGATTAGTTTTCGAATTCTCGATTAGTTTGGATCACACTATAGATGAAAGCATACTGATTGACTTGATAGATGAAAGCAAGATGTATGTTGAAGAGTATCCAAATCAAATGATCACTTTTTTCTTATTTCTTGGGTCTGAATAGGAAGTTGATTGAGTTGGGAACTAGAAGACTCGTGGAAATTTTGCATTGGAAGTTGATTGAGTTGGCACATCCTTTCAACTTGAGATGGGATTCCTTCCTTTGAAATGCTTCCCTGTCCTTGTAACGTATTTCAAATATTCACACACATACAAGAGACCAAAACAGAACCACATATTAATGTTACATTACATAGTGTGGGGGCTTTACGATTACACATGAAAGTCTCTCATATTATAGTTATTTTAAAGAGATTATTGAAGCAATAGCATACTTAGTGCTAACTATAAAGTTCGGAGTTTGGATGAGGGAAATAAACTTGGGATTTTGCACGAAATTAAAATTTCTAAATTGATGACATAAACCAAGTCCCATGTTTGGATTAAAAAATCAAAGCAATCTAGAAATTCTATGTAAAAAAAACATGGAATTTGGAGGTCATAAATCTCAACTTTAAATTCTACCAAAAGTAGTCATTATTTCTAAAATTTGAGAATGACATACCTTTTTTCTTTTTGGTGGTCGAATTGAGAATATCATACTTCAAAGCTATTTGGTTAATTGAAATTATCTTCAAGTACCATAAGAGAAGGAAGAATAGATGGAAGCTAGAGAGTAGCTGCCAAGATACAAATAATAAATTTACTCATCATTGACTTAATTTGCTTGCTTTTTTTGCTTCCTTGTGGAAAAAAGGGAAAGTGAAGAAGAAATTTCCCTTTCATTTCCGTGTGCAGTAGTGCACATAGACTAGAAAACAAAGAAAATGACCTAAGAAAGGGATGCCATTTAATTTAGTGATACGGAATTCTTTGGTCTATACAGTTGACCTCATGAATAAACCTCTCATCAGTTTTCTCCATCCTATTGATATTGATCATCATCACCCTCTACTTGTGCTCAGACATCCTGCTAAAACTCCCTTATTAATGGGAATTGCTTGGCAAGTTCATTTCTTTGAGAATATCACGCGGGCAATATCATTCAGATCAATTACTTGTATAATTTAAGCCCTATAATTTTGGCAATTTGTCACTCTTGTCTTGTGTGACTTTCGTTTCGTGGGCTTGGAGCCTTAGACTATGTTTGCTTGTTTTTGCTTGGTTCATCCAACTTTGGGCTGTCTTGTTTCTTAGCCATGTATTTGGGCTTTTTTGTGGAACTTTTCAGGACCAAAAATAAGAAAAAATAAGTTACTCCAAATTCTCTTCTTGAAAGGAAATCTAAAGGTCACCAAAATCAAACCACTGTAAATCTCTGAATTTTGGTATGAATTGACGATATGATATGTCAGCTACTAGAATTGGATTATGCTTACCTAAAATGTTAATTAATTAGTTTAGTAATCTATAATGTTATTTATTTGGTCCCTGAATTTAGACCCGATATGCATTTGAGTTCCTCAATTTTCAAAATCGTTCTCCTGGTCCTTCAACTTCAGTTTCATTAGGACAAACAGTTCAGTCGTCAATTTTGTAAACTTTTTTGTTAAATGCAAGGGCAAAATGATATTTTTATATTAAATTGATTAAAATATGGATAAAAAATTTATAAAAAACTAAAAAATTAAAATTAAACTTTCTCTCTACCCCTCTATCCCTATTTCAACTTCCCCCATACTTTTTTTTTTAATATTTTATTTATTTGATTTTCATTTATTGTTATTTTAAAGATATATATATATTTTTGTTTTAATATAAAAATACCAGAGCTAACCTACGAAGAAACCAAGCAAAAGCTGCAGAAGAAGCAGGCCTCCATTAACTATCTGAAGCTCATATATATATATATATATGTATTTTTTTTCCGCTGAACTCGTTCATCATATATTAACCCTTTGACTTTGAGCTAACGAAAAATGAAGTGTTCAATGCATCATCAAATGTTTTTATTTTCTCAGCATCCATGTTATAAAAGGAAGATTGCATCTTGTTTGCTGATATATAGACTAATAATAGAGGTAACAAGATGGTTGATCACCTCTACTTTTGTAACTTTGGTTGTATTTTTTTATTTTGGATGAGCTAGGTTGTATTAATTTCGTTGGAAGAAAATGAATATGATAAGGGTACCTTGTTGGTTTTTTATTTGTTATTTTTTATTGGCCGAACTTATTTGTTATTTGTTTGTTTAAAAATTTTAAATGAGTTATCCAATTTTTCAGTTCTCCTCTACAAAAAAAAAAAAAAAAAAAAAAAAAAAAAAAAATATTCTCTGTTTGGTGGTGATGGATAGAGTAGAGATTGAGCAAATATAGGACGTTAGTGGCTGCCCAGACTATAATGAGGGGTAAGTTATAAGGGGTTCACTTTATAGCCATCAAATCAATCCAAGGGCTGGGAAGAATTGAGATAAAGTTTTACAATCGGATAGGTGAGGAACCCAAACCCGAATTTAATATCCAGCAGGTCTCGAAAAAAAGAAGAAGAGACAAGTTCGAAGTTTGAACAGAAAAAAACCCATCGCTCTAAAACCCATAGCTCTGAGGAACCGCTAAGCTCTGAGAAACGGTTGAAGCCAAAGGTTAATGACGGTTGAAGGCAACGGTTGAACGCCACTCCGTTCTCCAAACCCTGAAAAAGTATTTATTTTGAGTGGAAGAGGCAAAGGTGTGGATTCCGAAACAGTGAAGGGGTGAAGCAGTGGAAGGAGAAGGAGAGAAGCCGTATTCGTTGGAAGTGATAGGTTCCATTTGTGGAGCAAAGCCGCACAAAGACCCAGCACAGACACCTTGCGATTGTTCAATAACCAGCATTTGGTGAGTAATTTATGGAATTTGAGTTTAGGGTTAGAGTAACGGTTTTCCCCAATTTGTACTATCAATGTTGTTGGATTTGGCATCTCTTCTTTGTGCTTCACTTGCATGTTAATTTTTGCTTGGGTATATGTTAAAAAACGAATGAAAATCAAGTCAATAAAATATCAATAACCTATCAATAATGATATGAATAAGATAATGGTGTTGAATTGGAGGAGGCCCTCAAATCAAAACCTTCCACATTTGAAGCAGTGCATAGTGGAGATTATCTCTCTAGTGCTAGAATATATATATTTTTTGAAATAAATATTTTTTCATTTGTTACTAAATTTGCCTGAGAAAAATGAGAACATATAATAATAAACTCATGAATATAAGTGCAAAGCATTTGATGAGTAATTTATGGAATTTGAGTTTAGGGTTAGAGTAACGGTTTTCTCCAATTTGTACCATCAATGTTGTTGGATTTGGCATCTCTTCTTTGTGCTTCACTTGCATGTTAATTTTTGCTTGGGTATATGTTAAAAAACAAATGAAAATCAATTCAATAACATGCCAATAACATATCAATAACATGTTAATAATAATTGTGGCAATGGCTTAGCAAGCAGATAGCAGAGCAGATGCTTTGCTTTGCTTCCTTCCACCATATTTCTTATTTATTTATTTATTTTGTGTTGTGTATGAGATGACAATTATTGTCATGTGAGATGACAATATTTTGTGTTGCAGAACTTGCCTAGATTGCACTCACACTCACTCATGCATCAACCATTGATTGGAGTTTGGATCCATAAATAAAACATATGAATTTGCTTGTAATTCACAGAATCATTAACAGGTATTTGCACAAAATTTGTCATATTGCTTTGATGATGTTGAAGCCTGTGATCAGTAATCCCTATGCACATGTACTTTGTAAAATTTGTAATGTGCCTGGTTGACTAGTTGTGTAAATACCAATGTGATTGTGCAAATACATGGTAGTATATGTGTTCACGTTATTTCATCTTGTAATTCAGGAAATGAGACTCAACGTGGAGCTGGTATGGCCAGAGTCAGAGGCGTATTCGTCACGGGTGTGAACAACTGCTCACATGCAAATTCATCCCTAGTTGCAATTCGAGCGAAGTTGAGTGCCGAACAATTAGAACAATTCAAGACATCATGCTTTGGCCATCTTCTAAATATAGATAAGATTCAGTTTAGCGGGCAGATTATGCATGGGGTTGTGTTGCGTAGAGTAGCAGGCTAGGGTGTGAAAGACTTGGATGAACTTAGTTTCTTAATAGGGTGCGACGTTGCTCAGTTCACTCGTCAGGATTTCTGTTTGATCACAGGGCTTCGTTTTGGGGAAGTGCCTGAAGTTTCCAGTGGAGAAAGTGATGAAATTAGACTTCAGAAAAGAAATTTTATAGACGAAGGAATTACATGATATGCTTTAGAAGAAGCATTTCTAAGGTGCACAAAGGAAGATGACATCTACAAGCTAGCTCTTGTTTACTTTGCTGAGTTAGTGGTTTTGGGAATGGACAAGTATTTGAACATCAATATAAATTACCTGACCCTTGTAGAGGACTTGGATGTGTTCCATAGGTATCCGTGGGGTTCAGTGTCCTTTGACAAAACCCAAGACAGTCTATTTTCTGCACCAACAAAGTATGTGAAAACCTTTGAAAATGAAGAGGGAAGAGGGAAGGGAAAAAGTAAGGTAACGGGAACAAGCCGGAGAAATGAGAAGGGCAAGAAGGATAAGCATGGTGAAGTGCAAAGGAGTGGCTGTAGTTTTAAAGGTTTCACGTATGTTTTCCAAGTACATGGTAATAATGTTCATGTCAGTTATATTTTGTGGACTTTACTTAAATAATGACTTTTGTCCTGTGAATTGTGTAGATTTGGGTATATGAATTAATTCCTAGAATAGTAGACCTGAATTACTGCAAGATTGTTGATCCGACAGCTCTCTCGCGTATTTTGCGATTGAGAACTACTACGTCTATTCCCGAGATGAGAAAGTTGAACAATTATTTTTTCCAGAGCAAAAAGGTTTGGTTTGCAGCCCTTGGAACTATTTATAAGATTAAATGAAATTATGAAGTAGAATGATTGAAAATGACTCTTGTCTGTATTATGAAACAGTCAGTTCAGTTGTGGGCGCTATGTCCTAGTGAAGAGGAAATGAGACAACCATATTGGAGTTGGCCACAGGATCGCCCTGCTATCGTCTCGGCAGAGTCAATTCCTTTTTCATGTGCTGACCTTGATGAGTTGAACAAAGTGGTAAGCTTGTTGAGGTTCGAGTTGTTTCAAGTAAAGCGGGAAAATGATGTCCTTGAGTTAAAGGTCATATGGATGGAAAAAATTTTGGACCACTGTTTAGGTCCTCAGTTTGAGCAGGAAGTAAGGAGGGACCTAGCTTTACTGAAAGGGAAGACGAATCATTGTGCCACCTCACATCTATTTAAGGGAAGTGAGGAAATGGATGACATTCGATGGGATGAAGGGCCAAGTAACAGATTTAAGGGAGAGGAAAATGAAGAGGAGGGGATTGAAGGGGGTGAAGAGCCAAGTAATAGAAATGAGGGAGAGGAAAAGGAAGAGGAGGGGATTGAAGGGGGTGAAGTGCAAAGAAAACCAAGTGAGGTAGAGGAAGCTCAAAGGAAAAGAAGTGAGGGAGAGCAAGTGAAAATAAAAAGCAGCAAGGGAGAGGAAGCGTAAAGAAAAAGCAGTGAGGGAGAGGAAGTGAAAAGAAAAAGCAGTGAGGGAGAGGAACTGCAAAGAAAAAGCAGTGAGGGAGAGGATCAGCAAAGAAAAAGAAGGGAGGGTAAGGAAGTGAAAAGACAAAGAAGTGAGGAAAAAGAAGTGCAAAGAAACCAATGTGAGAAAGAGGATGATGAAGTTATGTTGCTTGGCGATAACATTGGCGAGAGCACGGAGGGGACAAAGGTTGAGTTTACTCTCGGAGACATTGATTTGGATCAACCTATAGCTGTGCTATCTCAGTTCAACGTTTGGTTGAATAATGAAGGTAAAACTGTGGAACAAGGGGCCCAATTACGGAAGAGGAAGAGGATCATTCATATGTGGAAGATCATTGAAGCTAGTGATTTGGTTCAAAAAAATCAGCCAGAGACAACCCGACTTCGGATGTTAGACCCAATGTAGGCAATTCCGCATGATGATATGGTGAAATTGTTGAAACTTTGTTGGGAATGACGCCTTAACCCAAAGTAAGTCCCTTGTTTTTTGAGATAGAGGGAATGAGTGTATATATTTTTTAATTGTTGTGTTCTAAAACTTTTTTATATTCATAGTTTGGTGATGCAATTTGGCAACGTGGAAGCTGAGATTGAATTCTTCGCTTCCTTCGTCAAAGCTGATGGTTGGCTTAAAGGAGATGTAAGTTTAATTGATTATGCATTTGTTTTAATGTACATAGATTATGAGATTGACAAGAAAAACATGTGCAGTACATTGATTTGGGGTTATATCTCGTCCTGAAGCGACAACAAGAGTTGGAAAAAGTAGAAATATCGGACTGGACAACGACCGATGTATTTTTTATGGTATGTCATAGGCCTTGACCAAGTACAGTTAATAATTACAAATTACCCATACTTGCTTTGCAGAGGTGTTTAACCATTGATTGTTTTCTATTTCACAGAATCACATCCATACTTGCTTTGCGGATAATAAAAGAAGAAAAGAGCAGGTTGGGTGGAAAATTAGAAACAGTTTACTGAACGTTGTAAATGGCAAGGTTCCGGCGTATGGGATGGATTGGCAGAACGCGTATAAGGTGTATGCCCCTTGTATGTTGACGAAGTACAAGCATTGGGTGGCTGTAATGATTGATATGGTTAACTGTGAAATCAAAGTGTACGATTCAATGGTTTCACTTATTCCAGATGAGATGTTAAATGAAGAACTCGCCCCGCTTTCAATTACGATTCCAAATCTTCTCAACACCATCGACTTTTATGAAGAAGGTGTTTACGCAAACGATTGCAGCCGAGATTGGTGGTGTCTGTGGCCAATAGAACGTGTGGATGTTCCTCAACAGTCTAATCAGTGAGCACAACTTTTTATTTAATTTTATTACTTAAAATTGTCAATTACGTTATAATCTCATTAGTTGAATTGATCGAGTTCTTGATTTGCTTCAGAGGCGATTGTGGTATGTTCGTGTTGAAGTACATTGAGCTTTGGAGCGCTAATATTCCGTTAGCTACTTGCACCTCACAGAACATGCCCTTTTTTCGGTTGAAGTTGGCTGCAGAGATATTACGGGGAGATACTTACATGGCATGATATTGGTTGAACTTGGTTTAGGTACATTGGCATGATATTGGAACTTGGTTTAGGTACATTGGCATGATATTGGTTGAACTTGGTTTAGGTATGTGATGATTAAATAGGTTTTGGGAATGTCCAATTTCAAACTCATGTAAATACACAATAAGGACCCACGGGTCCTTTTCGAATTCTACCTGTGCTCCTCAATTATTCTTCGTCTTTCTCAATCTTAGTGTATTTTTGTACATAATTTTATGTTTAAGTTATTGGAGAATAACAATTAGAACCAAAATAGTGACAAATATTATAGCGGATGCATGCTTTCATTTCGATTAGTGTGATACAACGCTATGTTTATTATCATATTGTGCTAAATGTATATGGAGCTGGATGCAAAGCATAGACAGAAAAATGAAGAATCTGAAATGGAGATGCTAAGGCTTGGTGAGGAGAAAAGTAAATGGATCTGTAAATCTATTGCACGTGGGCAATCTAAATGGATAGGCAGATGTGTTTTTGAAGTTAGACACATGCCATTTCCATTACATAGAATGTGCATCTGGAGTGTAAAGTTTTTTTGGATTTAATGAAACAAACATCTGTGTAATATTGGCCTAACTCTTTCACGACATTTACATAAACTTAACCAAACTGCATTGAATTAGGATTTGAAGACTACATATGTGAATTGAGATTTGAAGAATGCATATGTGAATGGGGACTGATGACTTTTTAAGTGTATTACATCATTGCAAAGTGATATGTCATCATTTATCCAAGCCACCATTCCAAATATCAGATCCCAATCTTTAAGCCGTTGCCTTGACTTAATCGCAATGAGTTACATCTTAATAAGGTAATTCTGTAAGGGGAATATGCGGCTATGGCCTCGCCTCCAATGTTTTATTCAACCATGCCCTCTTTATAGAAACACATGAAAAAAATGTCCCCAGGTGCAATGCTATAAAAACTCCCTATTGGTTCCATAACGCCTCTCGGGTTTGAATCCCTCTCTCCTTTATAATCGGTTAATAAATTCGTTGATTTTCTTTATTTTATTGGTTTTGGGCAGCTCAGTAGCATAAAAGTAATGTATATTGGTGCGTTTATATTGCTTGTCTATTGCGTGCATATCTTACATTTATTGCGTGTGTATTGATTGTTTATTACTTACGAAAGAAATAAACAGCAATACACAGTCAACAGACAAGCAATATACACGCAACTGAGAAGCAATATACACGCAATAGACATGCAATATACACACATTGGACCTGCAATATATATACAATGGACATGCAATATACATCACTTCCCAATTACATCAACCATAAGGAAGTCGTATTGAATAGGAAATTCTACTTAACGGTTGTTCTTCTTACTAAAAGAAAGAAGAAGGACTGTTTCCCCCCTTAAATCTAACTCCTTAAATCTTATTTGAGTGGTACTTTTGCCCCCAATAAACATGCAATATTGGAGTAATAACATGCAATATACATGCAGTAAACTATCAATAAACCTTCAATAAACATTCAATATCGGTTCAATAACATGTGAAATAAATGCAGTTAACAATCAATAAACCTTCAATAAACATGTAAACCATCAATAAACCTTCAATAAACATTCAATATCAGATCAATAACATGCGAAATACATGCAGTAAACAATCAATAAACCTTCGATAAACATTCAATATCATGCGATTTACATGCAGTAAACAATCAATAAACTTTAAGTATACTCAAATAAACTATCTATACACACTGAATAATTATGCAATTTTAGAAAAAAAATGTATTGTCTTATTATTGCATCGTATTGGCCATGTATTGTGATTTTATCGTCTTCGTATGACTTAATTTTTTTAAAGTAAGTCTTGGAAATTGGAAATTTTTGCAGGGTTTCAGACAAATAAATGTTTTTGTTTCAAACAATAATTGAAACTCAATGCCAATCCACCTATTTCAAGAACAAAAATTACAAAATGGGTTTGAAAACTTATTGGTGGTGCATGCAACATGTCTTTTTGGGGAGAACTTTTACAATCCTTGAAACCGTGCACTTAATTAGTCATTAAAAGAACAAATAATATGACAATTGATACAACTAATAAAACTAATACCAAGTCCTTAATGGACTTCAGCATATTCAGCATTGTAGCATCATACGTGTCATCTTGCTGTTCTGCTTCAGCGGAGGTTACATCAAACTATTCGAATCCATTGCAACGGGTGGCTCCCTAATTGCAGGCATTATATATGCAAAATAATTCTGTTAGAGTTAGACCTAGGTTTTTTTCACCCACATACATATTCTGGAAATGAAAACTTACATAGGAGGTTAGACACTTCCAAAATGGCTTCCCTCGATTTTTATCTGATTTTGAAACCCGAAGCACCATTGCAGCTCCACAATACGGACACATCTTTGTTTGAGCGGGAGATGAAGACGAAGACATGTTGAATCTTCTCACTTGTACCTCTTCTTACTCAGATCTTCTCACTGGAGCCTCTTCGGACTCATACCTTCTCACTCATAGTTCTCAGTCATACCCCTTCACTCATAACCCTAAACTTCTCACTCAGCTCTCTCTCATCTCTGCCCAAATTGAATTATATCATTCTTTTCTGTGTGTGGGTGGGTTGGTCACGATCTGGACACCTGTACTATCAGAATTGTGACACCTTTTACCTCGAAAAGCAATATAATATTTTACTACCAAATATTAATCTGAAAATTGAGGGGACACTGCTTTAAATATATTATTTTATTTATATTTCATTAAGGCAACTAGTTGGATAAGAATCCGTCATCATTGGTTCCATTTTAATAACATTATTAGGGGTAGTTTGGTGTGGGAAAATAAAAAAGTATCTGATGGGACCTTCTGTGACTAGTCAGTAATCCATCACATTTGTGTCAATGAATTTGATGGCGGAAAAAGCCTAAAAATGGCTATGGAAATAGGTTATTAATTGACTTTTTGACTGTCTGACTCTCTTTGCATTTCGATGACGTTTTCCCTTCTCTTGTCTTGAGTTTTGGGTGTTGGGTTTAGTTTTTTTAAAAAGGATCAACTTGGAAAAACCCCAAGTGGAAACACCTTTTCAAAACACTACAAACAGAGGCTAAAACAAAAGCAAAACCCCATATATTCTCATTTCTCCCCTCTTCTACTCCTCAAATCGTTCCATTCCAAAAATATTTCAATGAATTCGAAACATTTCACTACACTCGGAGGAAAGAGAAGGAAGCATCTCCATTTTGGATATCCCCCAAGCCTTCATCTCGGAGTTAGCTTGGTTTAAAGTGATGTTATACGTGGAAACCCAATCATCGGAAGATCTCTTTCGTATGGCATCTGTGTGCCCATTGTTCCATACGTTGGCAAACACTCCACAAGTGTGAAACACCATTTCAATGGCAAAGTACCGAGACCATCCTAATTGGTACCATGCCACAATGCAAGTCCAGCATTTCTTGCAACAATGCAGGGCTTGCGAGAACCCTGAGTCGATATTTAGAGAAGCGTTCGAAATGTTTTTTATGCAGGGTAATGTGGAAGCATTGTATGAGATGCGCATTGCAGCCACGACAGGCCATATGGAAGCGGCATATTTAGTTGGACTACCTGGCATGTCTGGAATTGGTTAGTCAAAAGAGGATGCATTAGAATTCTTGTGTTCTTTGAATCAACATAACAACATTGATATGAAAGGAACCAGGGATGCTTTGAGACGAAGATTAAGCCGACTTTTCTCTATTGGAAGACATTTCGTAGATATGTTTGACTATGAGAAGATTAAGTTCAATAACTGCAGCGCTTGTAACAACAACGAATGGTGTTTTGTTATTCAAGGCTAGCCTACTAAAGAAAAAGATAAATCCTGCTTTCTGGACTTGTTGCAATAGATGCAAATGGCACTGTGAAAGTGTTTTTTGGTTCAAGGTGATGCGTGTGTGTTGTGCCAGGGAATCCATACCCTTATAATTAGTTGTACTATGTTTTTACGGTTTTTATGCATTGTGGACTTGCTTCTCTTCAGTTCTAGGTTGGCTGGCTACATTGTACAAATGTTGTTTTCTATTTCATGTTTTAATCTATTTTGTCTGGTGTTTATGCTGTCCTAAGCCGTTTTATATATAAATGTATAATATATGTTATATAGTTCAATTATTACTTACATAATAGACGGCTACGAATGACATTTTACTGACACAGATATTTTGCACAACTGTAATCTTAATATTTGGTAAACGAAAAGGCATGCATGGAGTGAATATGTGTCTTTTTACCGGTGCTTGGAAATGACATTTTCCCACTTAGCATATAGCATATCTCAAATGATTTGGTTACACGTTTCTTAAGCAAAACTTGAACAGTGAATGACCTTAAATAATTATTTCTTGATGTTGTAGAATGGATGGCTTGTATATTTCCATTTTATTTTTCAAAACATCCTTCAAACCTGAAAAAGAAAAAAAATAACAAATTGAACAAGAGAGAAACTGATTAGGACCAGAAATGGTCTATTCGCACTGAAAAAAAAATTAAAAAAAAATTTGGAGTAAATATAATTAACAAATGTACAAGCTAAAAAGTAATATAACAATAATAATAATAATAATAATTTAGGATAAATAGTAATAAAATACTAATGTAGCGTAACCATGAAATAGGGAATTCAGGAGGAAGATGAAGTCTCAATGAGTTCGTAGCAATTTTCGGAACATTATTGCAATTTTTGTGTATTTAGTTATGAATTTTCTAAGAAAAAATAATAAAATAATAATTTAGGGTAAAAGGTAAGAATGTGGCCATGTTGACTGACGTACACTTGTCAAGTGGTGAAAGGTGACAGGCTGAGATCGCGCCAGGTGTCCATTTCGCATTTATTTTGGCTTTTTTAGTGTAAAAATCTTTGAAAAAAGGTAATAAATAGTAGAAAAATCATAAAAATGCCCCGAAAAATACTCCGGCCTCCTTGTGATGTTATAAAACTAGGGGAACCTATAAATCATCCATTTCGCAATGAAAAAATTAAAATTGTTTGACATAACTCACTTTCCTCTTAACCTTCAGTATATATGTTGTTAACTTTAACTTCAATAACCTACTTCAACAAACATCTCTCGTTAATGTTCGAAACTGTTTTTAAAAATGCATAACCATGAATCGGGGAATTCAGCAAGGGAGATGGGTCTCAATGAGTTCGTAGTAATTTTCGGATCATTTTTCTGATTTTGTGTATTTAGCTATGAATTTTCTAGGAAAAAGTAATAAAATAATAATTTAGGGTAAAAGGTAAGGATATGGCCATGTTGACTGACGTACACTTGTCAAGTGGTGAAAGGTGACAGGCTGAGATCGCGCCAGATGTCCATTTCGCAATTATTTTGGCTTTTTTAGTGTAAAAATCTTTGAAAAAATGTAATAAATAGTAGAAAAATCATAAAAATGCCCCGAAAAATACTCTGGCCTCCTTGTGACGTTATAAAACTAGGGGAACCTATAAATCATCCATTTCGCAATGAAAAAAATTAAAATTGTTTGACATAACTCACTTTCCTCTTAACCTTAAGTATATATGTTGTTAACTTTAACTTCAATAACCTACTTCAACAAGCATCTCCCCTTAATGTTCGGAACTGTTTTTAAAAATGCATAACCATGAATCGGGGAATTCAACAAGGGAGATGGAGTCTCAATGAGTTCGTAGTAATTTTCGGATCATTTTTCTGATTTTTGTGTATTTAGTTATGAATTTTCTAAGAAAAAGTAATAAAATAATAATTTAGAGTAAAAGGTAAGGATATGGCCATGTTGACTGACATACACTTGTCAAGTGGTGAAAGGTGACAGGCTGAGATCGCGTCAGGTGTCCATTTCGCAATTATTTTGGCTTTTTTAGTGTAAAAATCTTTGAAAAAAGGTAATAAATAGTATACAAATCCTAAAAATGTCCCGAAAAATACTTCGGCCTCCTTGTGACGTTATAAAACTAGGAGAACCTATAAATCATCCATTTCGAGATGAAAAAATCGAAATTGTTTGACATAACTCACTTTCCTCTTAACCCTAAGTATATATGTTGTTAACTTTAACTTCAATAACCTACTTCAACAAGCATCTCCCGTTAATGTTTAGAACTATTTTTTAGAATGTATAACCATGAATCGTGGAATTCAGCAAGGGAGATGGAGTCTCAATGAGTTCGTAGCAATTTTCGGAACATTATTGTGATTTTTGTGTATTTAGTTATGAATTTTCTAAGAAAAAGTAATAAAATAATAATTTAGGGTAAAATATAAGGATGTGGTCATGTTGACTGACGTACACTTGTCAAGTGGTGAATGGTGACAGGCTGAGATCGCGTCAGGTGTCCATTTCACAATTATTTTGGCTTTTTTAGTGCAAAAATCTTTGAAAAAAGGTAATAAATATTAGAAAAATCCTAAAAATGCCCCGAAAAATACTCCGGCCTCCTTGTGACGTTATAAAACTAGGGGAACCTATAAATAATCCATTTCGCAATGAAAAAATCAAAATTGTTTGACATACTCACTTTCCTCTTAACCCTAAGTATATATGTTTATTCACTTTAACAAGTATATTTCCTTAATATTCGTTATATAATTTGTAATAATACAAGAATTAGTTTCCTTTCATATATAAGGATGTAAAATTATATGTTTTGTTATAATAATGTGCATATATAATAATTGCACACTGCTTCGAAGCCATCATTGCAACTGCGCCTAGAGCTTTGAACACGTCAGAGGTATTCAATAAGTTGTCCATATGCAACTGCACCTAGAGTTTTGAACATGTCGGAGGTATTCAATAAGTTGTCCATATGACGCCGCATTGGGAATCAGTAATATATTTTTTATCATGTCCAATCACATAAAATAATGCCATACTTTTTCTGAAAAACCTCACACCAGTCAAGCAATTTTAAAATATTAGTGAATATTTGTCATCGACTATATGAGTAATTATATATTCACTCTGCATTTTTTTCACAGTATATGTTAACTTTTGAGAGGGATTCCACAAACATATAATATAAAGAAATAAAGCAATAGTAGGCGATAAACCAGTACAAAAAACAATATATAACTGGTACAAAATATTGCCATAACCTTGTCACAAACGCACTCACAAATGCTTTTCTATAAACCTTGCCCTAACATATAATAAATAAAGGCAACATTGCATATGATGTAACCATGTCCAAATCTGATACGTGATAAATAAAAAATGGACATGGCAGCAACATATGACTGAAATAGATGGGCATTTTGCATCTGGTGTTATCGTAAGTAAAGACATCAAAGTATTAAGGTTGAAATCTTCCATAGTAGTAAGCATCAAAATAGGTTTGAAGCAGAGTTGAACGAAAATTCCAATTCCACTGATTTGACCTGCTCAAACACGAGAACCAAAATGGTTACTTCCCTTGCTGAGCATATTTGTTAATGTCGGAATGGTAATAGATGACCAATCAAACCCAAGTACGACAAGTTTTACATAGGACCGGAAGTAGTCAAATCCAGCTTGCATCACACGCTTCTTTGACTCCACTGCATTAGATGAGTTCTTGTATTTTTGAATAGCTACACTCTGAAGTCGTTTGTGTCTACACTTCATGCGCTGCAACTTTGCCCTATCCAGATTGGCCTGCCTTTTGTCATCTTCAATTTGGCCTTCAACAAATTCCAAACGTGCCATTGCCTTTTGGATTTCATCACCAAGTTGAAGATGCCTCTCCTTCTAGAAAGCAAGAACTCTTTCAGACTCAGAACTTCCAACAAAATGGTCATTATGTCTAGGAATGTGACACTGCTTGTCTGGTGACTCACTTGCGTTTCGAAGGGCGGTCTTTGTTTGGAGGGGTGTTTATTATGCTCACATCAAACTTGGTTAGTAAATCCATTCTTTGGGGGGAGAGAGTTTCTGTGGAGGAGTGAGTTTTTTTTGGAGGGAGAGTTTCTATGAAGGGGGTGATAGTAATACCAATAAAAGGGTTCCCGCCAAAAAACATTTGGTTGACAATGTATAAATTAATTTTTGGTCTGATACAATCTAAGTTTAATCATAACTAGTTTGGTTAGTTTGGTTGGGTTCACTAACTAGATGTCACTTCCATTGAGTTTCTTTCCACTACTAACAGTGGTGTAAGGAGAGTGTGGGGTTGACATGCTTGAAAAGCAAAACCTGACACCTCTTTTTTTAAAATTGAAATAAATTACATATGTTGACTACACGCAAGCTTTGGTATGTTGGTCTATAAAGCTATGTTCCTTTTCTCAAACGAAATTGCATATGCAATCCTCATCCTCTAAAACAAATAGGATTATTCAAGCATGTCAACCTCTTCAGGCGCCAACAACACAATCGAAGATGAAAAATTGGAGTCGCAGGTTCCATTTCCACGTTGTACTCGCTGACCCCTTCCATTTTCAACATCATTTGGGAGTGAGGGAGACTCTGAGGATCCATTAGAAGCAATAAATGCAGTCAGTAGCAAAATGGATTATAATTCCAGACTAATCAATTCATGGCACGAGAAATGTGTTGAAGACGAGGCCATTTTGGCTGATCTTAACATTAGAGTGAACAAAGCGTTCTCCCAAAAGAATAAGTACTTGAAGCTGAGTCATAAAAGGAAGCTGAAAGCTGAGGAGTTGGATACAGTAATGAATGATGAAATTAAAGGTTGTTTGATGAACCATATGCGATGCGAAGAGCACCACAGTGAACTAGAGTTGGCATTCAACAAAGGATTCAAAAAATTCTGAGCATTTGCGGCAACTACTCATACAAGTTTTAATTGGGACTATGTGTCCCCTGATGCTGTGAGAGAGTTACTAGACGATGGTGGTGACATGAATGAACATAAGCACGTCAAAGTTGCTCGTAAGAAGCCGACCGATACGACTAAGTGATTGCGGCTACAGTTGTTTAGTTGGTTGGGGGTTATCGTGGTATTGCACAAATTAGAAGTATATTCCCTTAATGTCATTATCTAATTTCAAATAATACAAATATCAGTTTCTTTTGCTTCATATATAATTATTGGGACTATGTATTGCAAGTCATCATGTGTTCCTTCTGTCTAACATTATATTTTGCAAATATGAAAATATTATTCAATAAGTAGTCAATATCATAGCACGTTGGGAATCAGTAAAGCCCCATTATCATGACACGTGAGTCATAAGTAACATACCATGTGCTATACATTGTATAGTGAATGGTTTATGGTTTATTTATATATAATAAAATTCCAAATATTGCTGAATATTTATTTTGTCTATATCAATAGGGACATGAGTGACCATAAGCATGTGAGACCTGCTAAGAAGAAGCTGACCAATACGACCTAGTGATTGTGGCTACCGTTGTTCAGTTGATTGGCGAGATCATGGTATTCCTAAGAGGGAGCACATAAAATGCTTTGCAATCAAATTTTCTTTTGTGTGTGGAATTATGAGTAGTTTAAATGTTAGTGTACCCTTTAATATTCTCCAACCGTTCGAAATGTGATTAGCTGCAATACTTTTTTACACGCTCCTTTCTAATCATTCTATTCCAACAAAGTGCTTCAAGTATCCTTCAGTTACAAATGTTTGCAAAATTGTGCACCTAATAACCAGTCGAGCTCAGATCTTAATAACCAGTAAAACACTAGAACATAACATTCGGAAAAAGTGGGTGCTGCTAGAAATGATGAGTGCTGCTGGAAATCATTACTGGTACTGGAAACAACAGCTGGCTGCTGGAAATGCTGCATTAGCCTGTCATATAATCAATGAATCTCTGTTAAAACATAATTCACTATAAACTACCCATTTTACAAGGTAAAAGTCATTACTTCTTCACATAACTCAAAATTTGATACTTTATCTAATGTCTATGAAAATTTCTAAATAAGGAGAAGACGTAAAATTAACATGTGATGCAAGAATGAAACCAAGCAAATTTTCATTTCAATTATCAGTGGACATAGTAAGAGCTCATTGGTGGACATGAACAAAATAATAATAATAATAAAACTGCATCTAGAAAACTTCGCCTGATTATTAGTCTTCATAACAACCGGGCTTCGTATAATAGAAACATAAATCATTGAGTTGGTCCGTGCATCTTGTAAAATTCGTCGAAGAATGGGTCACTAAGATCTATTGGAGTTGATTCGTCATTGTTCGACAGTGATGTCCTGCATAAACATCAAACACAAGCACATAAAAAATTTACCTATTCAAATTTTAGGTCTTATTATAAATAGTGTTAACATCTTACGGTGTGTTCAAATTTCTTGGACATTGTCTTCTATCATGACCAATGTGTCCACACTCCTGACAGTGTCTAATCCCTCCCTTCATTGCCTTTTCCTTTACTCCCGTTACTCGTTTCGACCCTCCATTGCACCTTACTCTCTTAGGGTCTTTCATATGTTGTGTTTGAGAGCTTGTTAGCTGCGCAAATCTCACGGCCTGGTACTCCGGGCCGAGGGGATGTGCGTTAACACGTGACGTCCTTCTTTTGGATGCGGTGTGGTTGTGCGCGGGCATGCTAGCACGGTCTACCGTGCGTCGAGATGGTGATGAGGTTTGGGTCGAAGATGGTTTAAATGATGCGCATGTTTCATGTTCGACTCCTGATCAAACGATTGTGACCGAGAGAGGAACTGATCTCGGCTGTCAGGTTCACGGCCTGAGCTACAAGGCCGTTTAATGGTGGTGTTGGTGGCGGGTTTTAGGCGGTGCTCCGGCGCGTTGCTCAGAGAGCGACAGTCGTATGATATATGAGGTGAATGAGATGACAACAGAGATGGTGCTCCGGCGCCTTGAAAATCAAGGGTCGTATGATATATTGATGAATGGATTTTCCTTACAATCTACCACTACTCCTAAGAAAGCAAATAAAGGTATTGAGAGTAATGCAGTGCATTACAGGAAAATATAATTTGCTCCGTGGGAGGCTTTTGGTTTGGTGTTTGAACCCCTTGAATGTAGTCCTGAGCTTAGTATTTATAGGAGGAGTCCTGGAGGGACAATCGAGGCTGACAAGACCTGCGTGGTGGAGCCTGACCGGGGCAAATGGATAGTCAAATCAGCATTTGGGATAGTGAAGTATGGTGGCTTGGGGTTGAGAAGCATGGTGGTGTTACCCCCATAAATCTCGGCCACCGCCCTGATCGTGGATTCTGCCCCCTTGGCCGTGGGAACGCATTTAATGCTCTGGTTTGGTGGTTGGTGATCTGACCTCAAGTCGTAAGATTACTTGTGAGAATGTCTGCGCCTAACCACCCTGATTTCCATCACCAAATCTTGACTTCAGTCACTTCCCTTGTGCATTAAATGCTTCTTGCGACTAGTGGGTTTGCTGCGAAGTCAGATGCATTACTTGATTAAATGGGGCGTGGGACCCTGAGGCCACGTGGCGATTTAACCACAGCTTCTTCGGCCGTGTCTTTTACGGCTTCGGCTTCGGCCTTCAACGCCGCGGTCGCGAGGCCGAGAGGATTCTGCCTTTGCAGCTTTCCTTTTGTTTTCAGGAAGGCGAACTGCTCGACGAAATGGTAGACGCTAGGGTCGAAAAGAAGTCCCCTCAATCAGCTTATGACCATGACTTATTAGGCACAAATAGAGCTGGACCCTCCAACTTCGTTATTACTTGGTCCATCCTTCAACAACTTCAACTTCACCCCCAAACTTTTTAGAGTCTCTGACAGTAGCTCACATCCTTCTTCACACATTAATGCATCCTCAACCACATCTGAAGCAAGTCGGGACATTGTACTCCGCTTTATTAAAAGACTTGGATCTGCAGAGTCTTTAATTTCGTTGCCATTTGCATATGACACCAATCCAGATTTCGCAGTTTTCTTCCACCTCTTCAAAATGTATTTATCGGGCATATATTCAATCTGGTCCCTTCTGAACAATGCTAGGATGTGCTTGCAAATAATTCCAAAAATTCAAATCTTTTGCAGCTACATGATGCGTGGTTAGAATCTTTGACATATACGACTTCTGCCACTCTTGTTTCCCAATTTCTCCTTCGCTCACATTATAGACAACTTTAGAAGCATCCTCTGTTTTGAGCTCTAGGAAACATGCTTTACTTTGTATTAGTTCTTGCTCAAACTTTTGAAACATTGTCCTTGTGTACAAGGTAGCCATTTGTTTGTTCATTGGCATCGGTAGAATACATTGAGCCACTTCAAATGCATCTACGTGATCAGCAACTAACTCTTTTTGACGTTGATGAGAAAGTGCCCTCTCAAATCGTATTATGAAATCCATCAACGAATTTCTCCTTGATATGTATTGCTTGAAGAAACCATGAGAACCTTCCGCTCTTTGGCTGCTTGACATTCCAGGCAAAAAAGTGTCGTGCGTAGGCTGGAACCCAAGATTCCCTTAAATCAAACATTGAACTTAGCCATGGATGGTCAGTCAAACCAGCCTTTGTAACCACACTATTCCATTTTGCATCAAACTCATCCTTATTGTCAGTATCCCATATGGCTTTCTAGAATTCACGCCAATACTCCTTATAAGCAGAATGTGGTAACTTAACAGAGAACTTTGATGTGATGTGCCATATGCAAAGTCGATGAAATGTAGTCGGGAAGGCTATTGAAATCGCTCTGGTCATTGCCGCATCTTGATCTGTAATGATCGTTTTAGGTTCACCTCCTGGCATGGCTTTCTTAAACTCCTCAAACATCTAAATAAACGACTCAGTCGTTTCCTTGCTAAAAAATGCGCATGCTAAGACAATTGTCTAACCATGGTTATTAACTCCCAACATTGGTGCAAATGTCAAGTCGTATCGATTCGTGTTGAATGTGGTATCGAATACAACAACATCTCCATAAAACCCGTACGCCCGTCTAGAAGTTGCATCTGCCCAAAAACATCGACTAAACCTGTTATCGCCATCTCCCTCAATCTTGAAATAAAAAGCCTCATTTTTTTTTCTGTTCAGCCATAAAATACTCGGTCACTAGTTCAACATCGTGGTTCCTCAGCTTCCCATTCACACTACATTCAAAGATTGTAGATATCTTTTTTGATAAAATCGATTTTATCCATTCCTCAGGATTGCACCTTGAAAATACTTACCTTCTGATTAATGGGAATATTAACCGAACCCAACTGTTTTGTGAGTACTTTTGTAGAATCTGAAATACGACGGTGTGATCTCAATAAATGCAATCTTTCTGAGGGTGTCATCTTATGATTATGTCCCTCTGCAAAAAGAGATATGGTATACTTCTTGCTCCCATTTGTTTTCACAACCACAATCTTAGCTTTGCAATTGCATCTACTTATTCCCCGCTGTCTTTTTCTCTCCCTAGTTTCATCTTTTCGGTATGCACCTTGTTTGCAACATACAAATTCTTTCCTCAGAATCTCTTTCTTATTTTCCCCCCAAAAGCTGGAATGAAGTCGAATACCAAAGCCAGCCAAGAATGCATATCTATTATAGAAATTATAAACAATGTCAAGCGAGTCGAACTGCATCCCAACTGCTGGTGTTTCCTCATTTCTTACTTCAGGAATGTAAACCCTCCCATTAGCTGTTACACAGTCATCACTCTCTGAGCCCCCAGACATTTTATCCATGTATATTATTTATCTACTTCTATATTACTGCATAGCAAATATTAATTCATTAATCAATCATTATTGTATCACAACATATCAATGCATTCCACTTACATAATATATTTCCCAAATTGACACAAAACACGCATAGCCTAGCTTGTTGGATTCCGATTACACAAAATGCAAGCGAAATTTAATAATAGTTACGTCATCTCTTGTGAAATAATCTGGAAAATATAACATTATAACCAACATGTTCAACTAAGAACACAAATGTAATTCAAACCAACAATTACAGAACTTCACCCAATATCCTCTCCAAATGCTTACTCCTAATGCCATTAAGCCTAAGTTTAGGATCTTTTACCTACATTTCATAATTTTCCACCCCCCACCCCCCAAAAACAATCAACTAAGTATATTGAATATTCATAAGGAAATGACGCATTATTGACAGCAAAAATGACGCATTATTGAGTCCACAAATGACGCATTATTGATGCCACAAATGACGAATTTCCCACCCTCACAAAAAACAAACCAAACCCAACAAAATCAATCCAGCAAGAGTGAACTTACCTCTCAAAGTCAATCGGGAGCTCCGAAATCAGTCAGCTTGAGAGAATGTGGTGGGCATTAGAAAAGATTCTTTGGTAGTGGAGACTCCATCTCTACCAAAATCGAGGAACAACTGCTGCTGCGGCATCTAGCTACAGAAAGAGATATGCTACTTTGCTTTCATCTGGAATCTCGTCTGCTGAACGAAAAAGAGAAGGGGTTTTCACTTGAGCCATAGAATCAAAATAGGGCAATAGCTAGGTAAGAGCCATTAATCGTCATACCGAGGATACCATAGATCGCAAGCCTCCCAAGGAGCTGATGACAATGGAGCGACTATAGGGTTTGGGAGCTTTAGATCTTTCTAATTGTGGGTTTGCATTACATTCAAAAAGAGATGATTGTGTTCTTCAGTTTTTCACAGAGAGGGAAAAATCTTCAATTGAAGTTGGGTTTCCAACGGGTCAGATTTCAACCCGGTTCTACATGCATCCTCTTTTAAAAACTCATCATTGGATGAAATCCAACGGCTCTTACATACCTCTCAAAAACACCCCTTATAACTTTCCACTCACTATAGAAGCCCCCGTTAGTGGCAGGCATTGGATTTGAATATCGACTGTTTGGATACATCAAAATAGCCCAGATTTGAATTCGAGCCAAAACTCCAGAGCCTAAACCCTAAGGAGAGGCCCACCGTCCAATCAATGAGATTGATGTTATTACTAGTGGGGTTGGATTCAATCCCAAAACATAACCCAAATTCGCACTCTTAAAAAGAGAAACAAAGTTTCCAACTGAGAATTTTAGTCAGTGCTTATTCAAACTTTATCAGATAAACCTTTTTTGTTATAAATTTTCATAAAATAAATAGAAAAAGTGATTCTACAGCACAGTAGCAGTAGTAGAAGGCTAAACATAGCCCATCATAAAATTTAATCCACAATTCATTTTTTTTTTTTTTTTTTTTTTTTTTTTTTTTTGAAGATTATTAGTGGATGGATTATTTTTTTTCCTTCAATCCATAAGCATCTCTCAATATATTTATTAATTTTTAGTATATTCTTTAAATATATTGGTTACTTCAATTAAAATACTACTTAGACCCTAATATTTTCCGATAGCATTTGTGACATTCACGTGTCAGCATGTCAAAGGAAGGATAAAAGGAATGTGAATAACCCCAAAACTTCATAGGTTAAAATGTCGTTAGCCTTTGAATATAATTACCCGTATGATGGATTTTATTTTAATTTTTCAAAAATAAATGAGAGGATAATATTGATAACTTATTATTACCAGTCCCTTGCATGTGCCAATTGGTTTTATTTTAGAATTAAAAAATATAATGGGTTGTTGGGTTGTGTTCCATAAAAATAGGACTCATTATCTTATTTAATTTTTTATTTTTTAATATGAAAAAGTGTGAATTATCATATTATCCTCATTTAATTATAATTTCAGTTATAAACATAAATAACTTATTGTAAATTCTTTGAAGAAGTTCAACTTATCTTTTTTGACAATAAAAAAAGAAAAAAGAAAAAAGAAGTTGAACGTGTCTTTTTTTTCGCCTTATTCTCCTGCATGAAATATGTGATGAGATTTGAGTTGACCCAAAAAAAGAATATAAAAAAAATCATTCATATGTGCGGACTAAGAATATGTGGATTTTATTATTAATTGTTGGCATGCATTTCTCATGATCTCTGGCAATAAAAATCTATTTACATTATAACTATATTACTGTGCTTGATTTGGGCAATCATTTTTGGACGAATTTGTTTATTAAACCTAACAAAAATGGTTTCACTGTTTTTGTTTTCTAAAATTATATCTGATTAAGCTATTAGACGCATGCTCAAATTTTGAAAATACAAATTGGTTTTCTTGTTTTTTTTAGTACAAGCAATTACTAAGAAAAGTGGATTTTCACTAGACTGGATTCCGTTGGCAATGGAGCAAATTATTGACCAATAAGTTTCATATTAATAAGGCGAAGGCGCTAACATGCCAAGGCGCTAAAAGAAACGACAACATCCAAACAAAACAGGGAATAAATACGACAACAAACCAAACAAACAGTTCCGGGCCAACCCACCCACTAATCTTCTTATTAAGGAGTCAAGACACTCCAACTGTCCATGGCAACCTTGCACCATTTTGATTGAAGGGAAGACATGTCTCCGAAGATGCTGGATAAAAAGATAAAGTGCAAAAAAAAAGAAGGAAAAAAAAGACCAGTTAGTTTGCATGAATATAAAAAATTAGAAAAACCAAATTAATCATGCATGCTGATTAAGTCAATAAAATAATAATAAACTATGAGAGAGAGAAAGAGAGATTACTTACTGTTGATCTTTAGTAATTAAGCATCCTTCAATTGCCGCTTCAACAAAGCTATCCTCACAAAAAGCCAATCATTTAAACCATTCAAGAACTTCAAGTATGCGTATCTCCATGACCTTGAAAATATCAAGGTGCCGCAAACTCCCCAAAATCCAGCAACAAATCCAAGCCCCATACTAATGTAGAATCCCAGTGTTATTAGCTCATCCTTGTCCTCTTGGTTGATGAAGTCAGTTTGCTCACTTGGACCTTTTCCCACTTCATCAGCACACATCTTTTTAAGTGGAGGTCCACAGAGTTGAAGATTCCTAGCATAAAAAGAGGGATCAAAGCCTTGGAGCTGAGTCCCGACTGGAATTTTGCCAGACAAGTTGTTATATGACAAGTCCAAGAAACCAAGACGATCTATCCGAGCAAGGCTTGTTGGAATTCTTCCATCTATATGGTTTCTTGACAAATCAAGAGAATCTAGTGATTGCAAGTTTCCAATCTCTTTAGTTATTTGACCTGTTAATTGGTTTCTCGATAGGTTTAAAGAAACCAACCCAATAAGATGACTGATTTCACTTGGAATCTCCCCTGTTAATTTATTGCTTGACAAATCAATTCTCTTCACGAGCCACAAAATACTTCTGAATGTCTGCACTCCTCCTTTCCACATGAAGGTTGCATCGTCGACATAAGGATAATTATATCTACTGAGATAAGTAGGCGTGGCATATGTATGTTTGCTGGTTAGACTTGAATTTCCTTTCTGAGCTAGAGTAGTCAAATTTTTAAGGCATGGAGGTATGCTTCCAGAGATGTTGTTAATAGAGAAATCCAAATTTTGAATTCGTATTAGATGGCATAATTGTGAGGGCAAGCTTCCATTGAAGTGATTAGACGAAAGCATCAGGATAACCAAATTCTTTAAGCTAACCCCTAACCATTCAGGTATTGGTCCGGATAATTTATTATCCCCAACATCAATAACTGCTAAACTTGTGCAATTCTTCAACGACGCAGGCAATTGTCCCACAAATCTATTGCTTCTTAATTTGAGTGTTTCAATCCGAAATACAGAGCCTATTGTTGTAGGAATTTTCCCGGACAAAGCATTGTAACTCAAATCAAGCATGACTAGATTCTCCAAATGTGTCCAGCAATTTGGAACTTGTCCAGAAACATTGTTGCTTGAGAGGTTAAGAAAGACTAAACCAATAGCTGCACTTGAACACAAGAACGAAATTGACCCTGAAAGTTTATTATTAGAGAGATCCAGATGTCTGGCGTTTGATAGAACTGACGGGATTGGACCTTCCAACTTGTTCGAACTCAGATCCAGATATGAGACTTTTGATAGAACTGAGGGGATTGGACCTTCCAACTTGTTCGAACTCAGATCCAAATATGGGACTTTTGATAGAACTGAGGGGATTGGACCTTCCAACTTGTTCGAACTCAAATCCAGATATGAGGCTTTTGATAGAACTGAGGGGATTGGACCTTCCAACTTGTTCGAACTCAAATCCAGATATGAGGTTTTTGATAGAACTGAGGGGATTGGACCTTCCAACTTGTTCGAACTCAGATCCAAATATGAGGCTTTTGATAGAATTGAGGGAATTGGACCTTCCAACTTGTTCGAACTCAAATCTAGATATGGGGCATTTAATAGAATTGAGGGGATTTGACTTGCCAACTTGTTTGAACTCAAATGTTGTTCAGGGGAATATGAAAACTCCAATGTCAAATTTGGAAATGTACCTCTAATTTGGTTGCGTGCGAGATACATATGTTCCACATTACGACATAAACTCCAAAACCAACTTGGAAGGATGTCGGAAATTCCGGCATCAGAAATACAAAGGTATGAGATATTTTTTTGAGTTTGAAGCCACTTTGGGAAATGCGGACCCATCTTGCAAGACTCCAAATTTATGGAGTGCAGTTGGAAAGGAGGAATCCAATCAGCGTGGATGTCTAAAACTAGCGAGTTAGAAGATAAATCCAAGTTCCGTAGTTTGGAGAGTTTTGATAAATGAGTTCCTGAAAGTACTCCGCTTAATTGATTGTCATGAAGATACAAGAGTTCCAAAGATGAAAGGTTTGTAAGATCCTGTAATGACCCTTCAAGTTGGTTAAAAGAGAGATCAAGATGTGCCAGAGAGCTCATGTTTCCAAAAACATCAGGAATTGAACCGGCTAGAAGGTTATTAGAGAGGTCAAGATGTACAAGGCTGGTATTATAGTTGGACAACCATAGAAATACTGAAGAAGTACTCAAATGGTTGAAAGAAACGTCAACGCTAGCAAGAGATTTAGAAGAGTTTATGTAAGAAAGAGTGGAAAGAATTGGAGAAGGAAGATCACAGGATTGTAGACTCAAGTTTGTTAGTTCAGGAAGCTTATTAACGGCTTCCGGCCAATCGAAAACATTGCTAAGATTCGCGAAACTCAAGTCCAAATATCTTAATGACAAAAGAAGAGGAAGCCAGTTGAGATTTTCTACATTTGTAAAGCTATTAAAACTTAAGTCCAGATACACCAAGTTCGTAAGATTTCCGACCTGACTTGGAAACTTGCCTCCAAAATTAGTCCAAGACAGATCAAGGTATCTTAAATTGGTTAGAGAACCAATGAAATATGGAAATTGGCACCCATTGAAATTAATATTATTGAGGTCCAAATGTTGTAAATGGTGCAACTCAATCAGTTTAGGACTAATCATCCTACCTTGCAAATCATGATGTATGCTTTTAACTTTGTATGAAAGATCAAGTCCAATAACATGACCTGTTTGGTTGCTGCAATAGACTCCTATCCATCTGCAACAATCTTGTTTCTGGGCTTCTGAACCCCATGAAGAGAGGCTATTGTCCTCATCCACCAGGCCACGTTTGAATGCAAGGAGTGCTTGCCTTTCCCTCTCTATGCACCTTATGGTCACGTTAGCATCCCTTTGACTGTGGTCCACCTCTCCTCCTTGGGTGTACTGTAGCAAAAGCAGCGCAAATGCAAGAAAGAGTTTCAAGCACCTTCCGTGACCCTGCATGTTAATAGATTCAAATGCCAATGGAATATATGTCGAATAGGCACAACTGTTTAGGGTTTATGAAAATGGAATATAATATAATGTCGAAGATGGAGCACTTGCACATGCAAACACTGCAAGTATATTGATGACTCCGTTCTTCTCCATATATATAGAGAAACAAAAGGAAAGCCTTCACAATGAAAACCATAAGAAGGAGTCCGTCAAATGTGAGTCCATAACCATAAGAAAGAATTTCGCGGGAACACAAAACAAACACCATTTACAAAATTAGGCAAAATTAAGAAAGTAGTGAGAAAGTGATGAGTTGGCGGGTGTGACTAAGGACTACCCTTTGTTTCAATATCATTAGACAAGCCCCTATATTTAAATATCATTTCTATTTTATATTGGAGAGAAGCTTTGAAGGTGCGGCAAATGGAACCAAACTTTGTTTTATTTTATATTGGAGCAAATTCTTGACAAATGAGTTTCAAATTATTAGATAGTACCTACTAGAATGCCGGCCAATTCTTAACAAATAAGTTTGCTATTTTTCTCTATTACATTTTTAATAACTCGAACTGACTTGCAGGTATTGACTCGGCTTTGCTTCACTGAGATGATTAGGATAGAGATGTGGGGAGATAATCCGACCGATCCCGCTGCCGTCCTCAATTAACTTGACTCAGTAATTGAATGGATCTTGGAATGATTTATTTGGCAGTTGGCCACCATATTAATTTACTTAGTTTCGGCATAAAGATAGATTCCTAGCTAGCTTATTCACGGTTTCTTATTGGTATTAATAATAAATGTGATTGCCATTGGTTGTGCTTAGTTAGGCTTTAGTTCGCACGTCCCTGTCTGATTATAATGTATACATGGATATAAAAATATTTTATTACTTTGGTAAGAAAATGTTTAAGATAGTTTGACAGGATTTGCATAAGGCTGCAAACTATGAGAATGGGATGGTGGACAACACAAAAGAAAGAAACTTAATGCTTTCTGCAAATGTTATGATTTAAAACACCATGCAGAAATGTTTGGAGAACACTGCACATGCACATGCAAACACTGCATATGTAATTGGTTGAACAGCACGGTGTAAGCTAAAACAGAGCAACATATTCATACAATGCAAAACCATAAGAAGGAGTCCGTCAAATGTGAGTCCATAACCATAAGAAAGAACTTCGCGGGAACACAAAACAAACACCATTTACAAAATTGTGAGTGATACGAAGGAAGTGGAACCAATGGAAGAAAAATAATGGAGGGCTGAAACCCAACTTCCTGTCAACCAACACAAATAAATTATCTCAATCCCAATGCTTAGATAATTTTTTTGTACACGTCTGAGTTTGGGTCTACCGTTTACTGTATTCAGATTGATTGAAACTTGGTTTCCAGTCCATTTATTATTATTATTTTTTGGAAAATACTTTGCCTATTTCCCTCGGAAATAGGAGGTCCTACATTCTTACTAATCATAAATTTGACATGTGTGCTAGGATTTGTGTTTTTGATGAATTGATTTTGCATTTGAATCAAACTTTGATTTGTAGGAGTACCTCCTTCTAGGTAAGGAGCAAAGCAGTGTTTTTTTATTATTATTATTATTATTATTATTTTTTAATACTTGATTTTTCGGTTCACGCACATCCGAATTCAAACTAACACAAACAGATTATCTCAATCAATCACAATAATTGGTTCGTGCTCGGTTGGGTTTGGATCTATTGTTTGTATCTGGATTTATGATTGTAGACAAAGAAATTTTGACGCAATAAATTCCATTGGACGAGAAAATAATTAGGGTTCAGTGGATTAGATTGTGGGCTCCATAATTCGCCCATGTGGCGTGTGACTCATCAAAATCAGATTAACTGTAAAAAAGGTGACACGTAGCGACATCCGACGGAGTGCATCAGACGGTTCAAGATGAAGACAAAATTAAGGGAAAGAATCTTCTGTGATTGACTTTGATTTAAATCAAATATTAATCAGGTCAACCAATTGAAGATAATCTTGTTAAATTGCCAGATTATGGGAATTGATTTAAATCAAATCAAAATCCCACAAAACAAGGTTTTAAATAGGGAAAGTTATTTAGGTCAAGCATCCTACAAGAGCCTATAAATAGAAGGCTTCAAGACGAAAGAAAAGGTCCATAAAAAACCTAGCATTGAGAAGAAGCAGAAAACTCCCTGCATTCTTCACCTACACTTTGGAAGAGCCACCAAACACAACAAATATGTGCCGGTTCCTCCACCCTAGAAAATCCCAAACACTAAACAAGCCTTGTGCTACCCGTTTGATCAAGATCAAGTCTCTACGACCCTTGCATCAAACACAAATTTTCTTTATACATTTTGGAGATCGAATCAGAGGATTCAATACAGAGATTGTAACCCTAAATTTCATAAATACAAATATTATTTTGTACACGTGTTCTTGTCTCATTTATTCGAGCTGTTTGGACCAGCCCAAGCAAAAGAAAGCAGCCAGTTTGCACATTCCTGCGCAGTCCAGCTCCAGCCAGCAAGGCCCATCGTCGCTTGCCCATGCTCCAGCGCGCAGCCCATGTCGCGCTAGGCCCAGCTTGCGTCTCAGCCTGCACAGCCCAGCTTCTCCTCCTGTGTAGTCCACACCTCATGCAAAGCCCATCGTCGCTTGCTTCAGCTCCAGCGCGCAGCCCAGCATCTTTTCCTGGCCCGCTCTCTCCAAGCTCGAGCCCACATCACGCACAAGGCCTAACGCCTTCTTGCCTTAACCTTGAGCCCAGCGCAGGTGGACTCGAACCTGCCAGCCCTTCCAAGCCTTCAGCCATACCGCCCAGGCCCTAACGCACTCCTCCAGGCATGTTCCAGCCCTTTCACCCTCCAGTCTTGTTTCAAAAAAAACAAAACAAAAAAATAAATAAATAAAAACAACTGACGCAAGAACATGATGAAACAAAGGATGGGTTCAAGCTTACCAACAAGTTTCTTGATAGACCAACATGTGGGTTCTTGCGGCTGTAGAAAAAAATATCAACGTTAGTTTTCTTTTTCAATTGCCGGCAATATATATATATATATATATGAGAATCAGACACTGAATATAAAATAAAAAAAATTAAAAAAAAAGGACAACTCTCACCACTTTGGTGACTGAGAATTCGGATGATGCAAACTTCAAAGTTGTAGACCTTCTTGCCGACAAGAGGAGTTTTTCTGCAGTTCTATTTGGTTGATCTCAATATTCATGAATGTAGTGCAATTTAAAGAAGCCAAAGACCATCAAAGCTCCTGGTGATGCTAGGGTTTCTCATTCCTAGTTTAGGAAAATATTGAATTTTGTTTCTTGTTTCACAAGATCTTAACAAAATTGGATATTATTAAGATTAATAATAAAAAAAGAAGAGAAAGGAACACTTCAAACTGCACCTCCTACATGCAACAAAGCAACATGTCTACAATGCATCATGAAGTGGGGGCAATTTGTAGACAAAGAAATTTTGATGCAATAAATTCCATTGGACGAGAAAATAATTAAGGTTCAGTGAATTAAATTGTGGGCTCCATAATTCGCCCATGTGGCGTGTGACTCATCAAAATCGGATTAACTGTAAAAAAGGTGACACGTGGCGACATCCGACGGAGTGCATCAGACGGTTCAAGATGAAGACAAAATTAAGGGAAAGAATCTTCTGTGATTGACTTTGATTTAAATCAAATATTAATCAGGTCAATCAATTGAAGATAATCTGGTTAAATTGCCAGATTATGGGAATTGATTTAAATCAAATCAAAATCCCACAAAACAAGGTTTTAAATAGGGAAAGTTATTTAGGTCAAGCATCCTACAAGAGCCTATAAATAGGAGGCTTCAAGACGAAAGAAAAGGTCTAGAAAAAACCTAGCATTGAGAAGAAGCAGAAAACTCCCTGCATTCTTCACCTACACTTTGGAAGAGCCACCAAACACAACAAATACGTGCCGGTTCCTCCACCCTAGAAAATCCCAAACACCAAACAAGCCTTATGCTACCCGTTTGATCAAGATCAAGTCTCTACGACCCTTGCATCAAACACAAATTTTCTTTATACATTTTGGAGATCGAATCAGAGGATTCAATACAGAGATTGTAACCCTAAATTTCATAAATACAAATATTATTTTGTACATGTGTTCTTGTCTCATTTGTCGCAGGAAATTCGTGTTTACAATGATTCCTCCTCAAATGAATATGGTTTCTTCAAGAAAGTTACTCCAAATAATTCTCTCCTTGATAGGATATCTAAAGGTCATCAAAATCAAACCACTGTAAATCTCTGAAATTTGGTATGAATTGATGATATGATATGATCGGCTACTAGAATTGGATTATGCTTACCTAAAATGTTAATTAATTAGTTTAGTAATCTATAATGTTATTTGCTTTGCACTTTTGCACTGATTGATGTTCGATTGTCTGTCTGTCTTAGCCTAGCTTCTACTCAGCTACTAGAATTGGATTCTGCTTACCTAAAAGATTTGGGATTAGGACCATTTTTGTTCTTCTTTCCTCATGTACTAGCAAATGATGCTAACTAAATTCATTTCAGTTGAAATTACAGTGAGAAAATACCACGTTATGAAGCAATAATATTTTGATCTTACTAATATTTACCCTGTACCATTGTTGACAAAAAAGTAAAATTGCAGAATTATGGGGAAATATGCTGGTGTAATCAGGTTTTAGAAATAGTGTGCTGAAATGATCAGGCTACAAATTGTGTTCTAATATAATCACTTGGGGACGTGAAATGACCAAACTACCCTTCATATAAAAACATATCTATTGGGGAGTTATTGGCCATTGATTGGTGACCGAAAAATTCTGACCTCGCTCTCTGCGTTCTCTCTTCCTCTCTCAGCGTTTTATCTCTCCACCGTCGCTCCATGACCACCACCACTCTGTTTCTCCCACTCTCTCGAAATCCATCCTTGTGTCAATTTCTCAACAAAAAAACTCAATCTTTATCCCCTATCTAGGGTTATCTGGTCTTACAAGTCCAACCCAGAAAAATAAAAGCTTAGCCAAAGCCTTGAATACATGTCCTTTAAGTTTTATCCTTTATATTTTCTTTCCTAAGAAGAAATAATGGACGAAATCAGAGTTGATTTTCTGCCTTCTGATAGCATTTACTTCAGTGTGGGAATCATTAACAAGAAGCTCGATGTGAATCAATTCCAAAATGTCCATTCTTGCCGCAGTGGGCTATCGGATTCTTGTCTAGGATTGTTGAAACGGGGCATCCAGGTATTTATTTATAACCTTTCTATTCTGATTACATTTGGACCTTTGCGTTTCTATTTTTATTGAAATCATTTTGTGAGCTTTTCAATATGTGTGTTTCTTTTGGGATTCTTTCAATTGTTTGTTTCTGGGTTGTTGTTATATTGGTTCTGTTCTCATGTAGATGAGCAATTGCATATGGATTTATAGTGCTGGAGCTAAATAAGATATATTAAAGTATATTTTAAATCTTGGAGTGGTCTTCTTTATTAAAAAAGGATAAGTTTTCTTTGTAAAGATTCCCCCTTTGTTTATGTGTATATATGTGCATACATACAGCTCTTGATATTTATCAGAGGTTTATTTCAATTCCTGGATAATAAGGTACCTGTTTCCACAACTGAAATTGCACTCAAAAATCTTGGAGGAAGATTAACTGCTATAAATCAGGTAAACATGTAACAAGAAATGCAATCCTTGAACCTAGCTAGTAGAATTCTTTTGTGAGTTAGCTTTGATATTTTAAGCAAGAAATTGATGTGGGTTAGTTCAGCAACAAACTATATGGGTTTGGATTGGATCATATCTAACTTTGTCTTCTGCTTATTTTATAGTTAATGATCATTTCTGGAGTGTCCATTTCCTTCAAAAATGGGGTACTAGAAAGCTGGAGGGCTTTAGCATTCATAGGTGATTTACTTAGACAGACTCTGCTTTTGAATACTTATCTAATATAGTAGTAGAGTGCTCATTTGTGTGGTGATTGCAGGACTAGTTCCCTGTGTAGTGACCATTTTCGGTCTCTTTTTCATTCCCGAGTCTCCAAGATGGTTGGTAAGAAATACTTTTCTTTTTCTGTTTGTAGTTATATTGTTCGTGATCTTGATGGTATTGGAAACAAAAGGGAAAACCCTGAAACAAATCCAAGGAGACATTAATAAATAGAGAAGTGAAGGGAGAGTTAAAAAAGAAAAGAAATGAAGAGCTTTTTTTGTGGTCATTCGTTGTCGTTGAAAATTTTGACAGCATAGTGCATCACATTGGTTGATGGAATCTTGAGAGAGGTTTCCAAACCACAAAAATATTGTACTGCTACTGTTTACCCCACAAAATCATTGTCCCTACTTCCTTTTCATTTGTTGCAATGACTGTTTGGCATTGATTGGTTTATTTATTTTGCTTTTGTTTTTGCATCTGGTACTGTATTCATGTCCTTGCTTGCTGGTTCCCTTTTTGGGGTTTTCAAAGGTGTAGCTTTGGTGGTTTTCAATGCCACTGCTAGTGCATCTTCTTCTTATTTCTTGTCAAAGTTGATAGGGAGGCACATTGTCTTCTCTATTAGGTTTGACAAGCTGCAGTTTTTCCAAAACCCGGTAAATTCAAATTATCCATATCTCTCATTGATAGGGCTCTCTCTCTCTCTCTCTCTCTCTCTCTCTCTCTCTCTCTCACACACACACACAAACGAGCTACTTAAGTAGCTATCAAATGGTCAACAGTGAACGTTAAATACTGCACCATCATCACCCTCTTCACCAACCCACTTTGCTCGCTGCATTTTTTGTACAAAAGCTCCACGGTTCGTGTAAGTTCTCATTGCTTCTTTGATCGATTTGCTTCGAGTTAGCTCAAAAAACTTAAACTGCAATGCTTCTAATTCTACCTTGAAAGATTGGAATGAAATGAGCAAGTTTCTTGGCGGTTGGCCCCCAATTCTGGAACTAATTTTTTGGGATTAGTTCACTGCTCAAAAACTGCATGTTTTCCTCATTGCCCCTTCTTGTTAATTTGTTTGTGCAGCTGGTTGGCTTCTAATCCACTAGTTAATTGATCATTGAAATGGCACAAGAAGTTGTAAATTCAGATGAGGTAATCTCCTTGTGCATTTATAATTGCACCAACCTTTCTTTTAATGTTTCTGTTTTTAGTTTTCTTCCTGCAAATAGTGAACATGATAACTGTCTGCTAATTAGTAATTACCATATGGGTGTTTATGTAATCTTTTAGGTTGTTCTTGGAGAAGAAATAGACCATGTGAGGTTGATCACCTTGAACAGGCCTCGTCATTTGAATGTCATCTCATCAAAAGTCGTATGCTCACAAAGTTAACTAGTTTTGTTTAAGTTCTTAATTCACTTTCTTTTTTTTGGTTCTTAATTCACTTTTTTTTCACTGCAATCAGGTTTCTTCGCTAGCAGAATACTTGGAAAAGTGGGAAAAAGATGATAAAGCTGAGCTTGTAATTATCAAAGGTTACTTCCAATTTTTCCTGAAATCTTGAACTAGCATTGGTGGTCGTGGTTTAATAGATCAATGCACAACTTCGGTGAAGTCTTCAATTCCATATAGAGCCATTTAGATATTAGCTACTTGATATGCTTTGGTGTTCTTGTATAGGGATCGGGTCGAGCTTTTTCAGCTGGTGGGGACTTGAAGATGTTCTATGATGGCAGGAACTCAAGTAAATGCTTTCTCTTGTGAAAATATTTAAGTTCCTAATATATACAGAAAGTGAAGTTGCTCATGAACCTTCTTTGGCAGAGGATTCCTGCCTTGAAGTGGCTTACAGAATGTATTGGCTTGGCTATCACATTCATACTTATAAGAAAACCCAGGTAATGCTTGAAATAAAGTAATCCTATCGCCTGTGTTTTCCATTCGAAAATGAGTTCCCTGTAGACTGTATGATTCCAAGTTTATGCCACTATTTAAGGGTATCACTAAAGAATTCATGTTATCAATAGGTGGCTCTGGTCCATGGAATTTCAATGGGTGGAGGCGCATCTTTAATGGTCCCAATGAAGTTCTCGGTAGTCACAGAAAAAACTGTGAGTATGAATATGATCCTAGTGGGATGTTTATAGAAACATGTCTATCTTTAGTGTTTTCTGGCTTGATATCCATCTCTGCATAATAACATCAAAATTTTCTGTGGTGTATTTCATGATAGGTATTTGCATCTCCGGAAGCTAGTATTGGCTTTCATACTAATTGTGGTTTCTCATATGTATCCCATCTTCCTGGGCATCTCGGTAAGCATGCAAATATAGAGGAAAATAGTTTTTCTTGGATTTTACTGAAATTGATTGGTATCGTGTGGGGAACGCAGGGGAGTTCTTTGCCTTAACAGGAGCAAGACTGAATGGTAAGGAATTGGTTGCAGCTGGATTGGCAAACCATTTTGTCCCTCTTGAGGTGATTTTCTCATTCCTTCCCTATAATTTTCTTCCTCTGAAACCAAGTCTCGGAAGTATTAGCTCACAAGATTTGCCCCTCTAAGTGATCTGCAAAGCTAAGAGATTGCATTATACACATCCATTATTATTAGATTCTTTGATATAATTCTTCTTCATAGTTACTATGTCAAACTAAAATTTGCTATTGAACTGTTTTTGTTCATCAGAAATTATCTGATCTAGAGAAGCGTTTGATAAGCTTAAACTCTGGAGATGAGAATGCAGTCAAAGCTGCGATTGAAGAATTTGCAGTGGAAGTCCAGCCCAATGAAGAAAGTGTTTTAAACAAGTAATAAATCTTAGTTGCTGGTGTTTAATTGTTAATTCCACTTCAAACCTTAACATTAACATGCAAAGCTCCATATCTCGATCTCAATAACCTTTCCTTACCTTTCAGGCAGTCAATAATTGATGAGTGCTTCTCCAAAGATACATCACAAGGATAAGGAAAGGTCTGATACCAGCTGGTTATGTCACTGTCAGGGTATGTGTCTTTCACTTCTATGAAATAATTGTGTTAAATTATGAAGTTCAATTTTGGTCTCAGAACATCACAAGGAATTATCATAACTATACTCAAATCTTGAAGGATTCTATGCTCAAATGACCCAAAATAAAAATCACTATCCAAAAATAGATATGATTGTTATTTTTTGAATAGAGGCCTAATCTATGAAGGACAATTATATTTGTGATTTATCTGAGTTCTCTGGTGTTACTGGTTATGCCTATGTATCTCTGACTCTGTTTTTTCCCTCAGGTCGGATTAGCTCTTGGAGAGTTGCGAAAGGAAAATAATTTCCTAAGAAGCCTTTGGCCAGTAACTAATCCACCTTCAAGTCAAAAACATCTTTTACATCCTCAACTTTTACAAAAGCCTCTCCGCCCATTCCTTGCTTGAGGGTATTTTGACGTTGCAGGAGTGTAAAACGTGATTCCATTAAGGACGTCGTGTCCTTTTTGTAATATGTTGTAGATTATGAATATATAGTGGGAATGTGGAGTTTTTGTATTGCCATTGTATTGCTTCCGTATTGCATTTGTATTGTCATCATATTGTCATTGTAGTGTTGTGGTATTGCCTGGTTATTGCACTTATATTTGTTTCTTGTCACCAATTTTTTCAAGTCTGTCTTGTGAAGGAACTTATAAGGATATTTTGTAAAAGAAAACGCTTGATTGTGTAAGTTTATTTTGTAAAGGAAAATGCTGGATCATTATTCATTATCATATAAATAAGGTACAAGAAGCACCGTATATGCATCTCTTCAATATGATTGATTCGTGTTCAGCTATTGGTGTAAGAATGTGATTCCACTATTGCTTATTTATTTATTATTGTAAGAATGTGATTCCATTAATGACGTCACATCCTTTTAATAAATCAAACTCATAGTTACTTCCCCTGCAAGAAATTATATTAATTAAGAAAACCAACCAAAAAGCAATACAAAAGCAATACGAAAGTAATGGCACATAAATTATGAAGTGGTAACAGACATGCAATACAAAAACAATACGGTAGCAATAAACGAGCAATACAGTGACAATAGACAAGCAATAAAAAGGCAATAAAAATACAATAAACAAGTTGGGGGCTTTTCTTTTTCTTGTGCAATTTGAAAAGAGAAGGGGAAAGAAACAGAAATTGTCAAGATAAAACTGCAAAAAGAAACAGAAAGTGATTATATCAGACAATTCCCCTTACAAAATTCTATACCGATAATGATAGCCACCCCAAGCTAAGGACGGCTCGGCATAAAATAATACAACTTCAGTCAGACTATGGCATTATACATATCCCTTGAAATACAATATACAAATTGCTGGCTCAAAGAAGAGTTACAAAATTTTGATTCCAAATCTAGCATTTCAATACAAATTGATGACTATAATGTCTGCGTCCATCTTGAAGATGAAATTCTTTCCACCATCTTGGAGGCCTGACATAATGCTCTTTGATAGTCACCCACCCTTCTTTAAAAAAAGTTCGTCTTTCCTCTGCAGGAAAAAAAGAAAAACCAAGATCAAGATCAATTGTCCTCCAAAAATATAGCTTAATTATGCAGAAGATACTAGAGATGATTTGAGGCCATTAATACTCGAGGGCTGTCCTTCAAGCTTAAGTAATTCATCATGCATATGATCCATAATGAAGCTAAGGGAACTCCTAAGCATCTTCTTGTCTGAAAAACAAAAATAGTTTCAATAGGCAACTTAAAATAGAAAGTAGAATATAGACCTGCTGCCATAAATATTTACACCAGACAGAGAAGAAACTAAACAATACAAATTTAATCCTTTGGTAATTACTCTTGAAGTGTTCTAGGTTTCTTCTTTCCTTGGTCCATGAAAATATTGGTGAACTCATAATAATACAGAAGATTGTTAACCTATTTGTTACAACATTTTACTAATCACAAGTTAACTTCTAAAATATCTTAGTCTAACCCATTATTTCACATTAAATGGGTTGCAACAGGTGTAATACACCACAAACAGATAAATAAATTGGAAAAAAGTGTAGCATGTTTTCAGAAAATAAACAATTTAAGTGGAGACATTGTAACTGCAGGCATTTTAGTCATGAGCTATGTCAGGCAGTAGCACTTTTTCAAGCCATCAGACAAATTGTAAAGCATGAGAATTATCAATCAAGCCTAATAATACTGAAGGAAAACCATTACCGATCAATACAAGATTTATGAGAATCACAAAGTAACAATATAAGGACATAAAGGAAACAGTGCATAAGGGATTTAAAAGAAAAAAAGTGGCAGCAAAGGACAACTTTTGTGACTACAAATAGATGCATGTGTCTAAATATTTTTCCAATGATCGTGCCTTACAATTTCAGCCAGCAATACCATCAAGGATTACATTTGCAATAAGAAGGCTCAACATAGAAATAAAAAATACAAAAAGACAAAACCTAGAACGGAAAATTATTGACCCATATCAGATACCTGCCCGAGATGCTAGTTGGTACATCAGGAGTAAAAATTTTAAAAACGCCTTCAAACATGGCAGGGCTAAAAGCCCTACCAGTCTCAAGAACACTTGCATCTTTGTTCTTTCAACTTGAACCACTAGGCATGTCAAATTCAGATACGAACTCTGCAAATCCACCCAATGTTGGATAGCCAACCTAATAAAATCAAATTCAAATGAACATATTAGTTAAGTGATTAGCCAGAAAAAGAACAAGCATTAGGGAAGGCAGCTTCCTATTTTCTGAGATCAGCAGTCTATATAAATTTTGTTATTTGCAAATAGCAATTCTACTAAAACCACGTAAATGCAAATTATCGAATAAACAAAAGAAACCTTAGGCACTTTGCGAGTTCTCAATTCCTGCAGAAGCTGAACAAAAGGAGAACATATGACAATCCTAGATGGCAAATAGCAAATTGAGGCACTTCGTCATCCATAGAGCAAAATCAATCAGACCAATAGAAGTTTCATCCAAGCATGAAGTAATTCAAAGTTAAAATACAGAAATTTCCAATCTCTCTAATTACTAAACTTCACAAAATCAGTCACAGGTTAGTGAAATTATCCTTCTCAAATGAAAAACCATACAAAAAGACAAACTAGTCAATAACAAATACAAAACCCACCTTAGAATCACTCGTTTGGTGCACATAACCGAATTGGAAATCCCAGAAACACCTAAAGAAAAGCATGAATCACTTGCTTGGATGCGCGATAAAAGCATTTTCAGTGTCTCGTAAGTCATGAAGACAATGCCTACACTGGGGACAACCTTGTAATATTCTGGCAGAATCCCTCTATACAAGCCCCGTAGGCCTTCAGTCCGGATTATGTGCTTAAAAGTCCCAACTAAGCCGGTATTATAGATGCGAGCTCGACCACCAGCCCCCTCCAACTGCATCCTTCGCCTCACAACATCCAGAGGGAATGTTGCTGAAATAACAAATAGACCAAAAGATAATCACACAGAAGAACAATAAATCTGAAATTCTTATTGCTGGATCCTAAACAAATCAATTGGAAGTCCTAACATAGTTTGCCATCTATCTGTGTCTGAAAACTAGACAAGATTTAATTTGTATATAAGTTTTTGTTAATTTGTAAAGTATTTTTCCTTGTGAAAATAAATCCTCCACTATGCATCATGTCACAATTTTCTGTTATAGCGATCCATCTTTTGATGGTCCAAACTAGCACCAAATGTCACAGATCACTTACCTGTTGATGAGGCAATGACTAAAAGACTGCCGCAGGCAAGACTGACCATTACAGTCGAATCATTGGGCCTGATATCAGAAGAATTGAAAACTACAATATTACAACTCAAACGAATAGAGGGACAATAAACATCACTTTAAAAAATTCAGCCCCAAATCAACCAATTATGCAGTATTCACCTTTCAGACTGCCAAAAAGACCTCAAAGCCTCATAAACTGAGAAGCTTATTGCTATACTGGGCCCAACACCCTGTGCCACAGGAATAAACCAAATGGAAATTAGTGTTAACAAAATAAAGCAACGAAGAATGTGCAGGTTCATAATAAAGCATACCAACAGTGTCGCTCCAAGTCCTTTATACAATCCCAAAAAACCTTCTTCTCTGCAAATTGTATGAAATGCATGCCCAATACCTCTGTAGTATAGTGCATTTCTCTACAAAATTCGAATACACTGATAAAAATCAAACTGAAAAAATACAATGGATAGACAGTTATAAATCATACCTAAGACCAAATTTAATGAACAAGAACTGCAATATTTGAGAAGTATGTGAAAAAGTCGGAACCGAAACCAAGAATTAGGGTTTTTTGAGGTCCCGAAGGAGCAAAGGAGAAGAGAAAGAAGTCGATTGAAGACATGAAAAGAGAGGGAATTGAGAGATTGTTGAAGGGAGAGAGCATTTAACGAAGAAACCCTCTCTTTCACCTTCAAGAACCCCCTCAACAAACCCTAACATTGACTGCAGAGAGAGTGCTGCTTAGGTTTTCGCTACAGAGGGAGAAAGAGAGTGGTGGTGGTGGATGGAGAGAAATCGCTGAGAGAGGAAGAGAGAACCGTGAGAGAGAGAAGTCAGAAGTGTTAGGGTTGATACATCTGCTTTTATATGGAGGGCACTTTGGTCATTTCACGTCCCCAAGTGATTATATTAGAACACAATTTGTAGCCTGATCATTTCAGCACACTATTTCTAAAACCTGATTACACCAGCTTATTTCCCAGAATTATGGCTAATCAAGAAGTTAATACAGTCTTGCAGAGGCCCATGTGAATGGATGCATCAAAATAAAATGCAGCTTTACAAATTAGCACATGCCATTAGCAAATTGAAAGATAGGTAAGTCCATGGCCCAATCTCACTAGTGGGACCTTAAAATGACCCATATTGTTAAAATAGACATAGACTATGGTATATAGTGTTAGAGTAGGTAGGTGTTTGGAAGAAAAGAAAAGATACATCAATGAAAATATAACCTACGATCGCACACACAAGACTCCTAGTTTGCCAATAAATATGGGGGCTATCAGCTCCTCTCTCTCTCTCTCTCCATGTTTTTAAAAACGTTGAGAGTGATCGATATGTCTCTTGTACTCCTTAATTTTCAGACTCACAATAGATCGACAGGGTATTCACGCGTATGTATGATGGATTGAGATTGTCAATATATATGTATCAAGTCCGTGGTTACTGTGGACTCTTCTAGATGGTTGTTTGGATACAATAGTGCTCTTGGTAGTACAACAAAGCACAAATTAATAGCATCTAAAATGGAAGTTAGAAAGTTTTCAAGGGTTGCAATATCTTGTCATGTGATGAGGACATCTTTAAATGTACAATCCCGCCCTGTCAGGATATCTTTAATAAAGACCCTTAGATTAATCCAACGACACATATAGTTAGTAGTTTAAACCCTCAATCATGCTCCTTGGTCTACCCAAACAACTCTTTTAACCCCCAAAATTTTGATGAATTTAGCGCTCCACATCTCCCTACCCACACTCCTCTGTCACTCACAAATGAGGAGTGCATGAGGTAATGTGAGAGTGATTTTATATTATTTAATAATATTTAATTTTTATAGTGAAAGAAAAATAAGTGTCGTGTGTTTTAGTATTTGTTTTGCACTTGGTTATTCTTCAAAGTGCATTATTAATAATTAAACGATGAGATTCAAATGATCAAGTGGTCTTGTTTCTATAGAGTTGTGTCTGTAACTTTTCAAATGAAAAACTACTTATGTTTCAATTCAACAAGAGGTGTAATGAGTTTATATAAACTAAACATCCTCACCGATTTGAGATATAGAATGAAGAGAGTTCTTACCCGTGAAAAACAAATAGTATCCCCAGTGCTCTATTGTTAAATTCTTCCTAGTTTTGTTTTAGAGTACAAATATATAATTAGTTCGCCAGAGTTTTAAATTGAAGTGCTTCATTTTAGAATTATCGATTGTTGAATCCTGGGAAATAGACGCCTGTAGAATTGCGAGCACAAGGGCATAGGCGAAATATGTCTTAGGATATCGCAATTCTTGCAAGCCTCAATCACTAAAGTTGTCAATATTTCTACACATTTGTGTTTGTTGATTTACATTAATTCCATGTGAATTTGTTGTATATTTGATGGTTATAATTTTGTTGAGAATTATTATAATCTAAATTCGTATTTTCTATTGTTCCGTCAACAAAAGATGGAATTGAAATTGAAGCCTCCATCCAAAGATGATGATAAAGAAGATGGCACTACTCTTTTTTGTCACTGGGGTTGCAAAGTGTTGGCTCCCAAGAACACCAAAGACGACCAAGCCAGACACGCCATTTTTCTATTTGAAAGCCTTCGGAGCAGACTTTTCCCACCATAGTCAGATCAATCAGAAGAGTGGGAACTTCTTAGAAATGAGTTTTTGGAGCCCTTGGCCAACAAGTATAGGGCCTTTGAGTGTTGTCGAAGCATGTGTTACATTCGAATGCCTAATGTGGTTGAGAAGTATTTGGAGAAGGTGAAAGTAGGCGGCAACATCATAAAGCCGGATGCATTGCTTCCAAATGATATCATAACATATGTAAAAGATAAGGATGTCCGCGAAGCAGCTAAGCTTCAGTGGAAGGCAATGTTGGAGGACATGTACCTAAAGGGGCAAAAGCAGGGCGAGGGTTTGGGCAAATTTAAAAACTGCTTGGCAGTGTGTAACATCACCACTAGTTTCATGGGCGAACCAGCCATAGAATTAGTAGCGAGATTGGGAATTTTGGTGTTTGAACTGAATGAAGAGCCGGCATGGAAAAGAAAGGTGATAGGTCTTGGTCCCTTACCTAATTAGCTGCCTCTGCTACATTCGATACAAGGCGATGAGCTTAAGTCCAAGTACGAGTTTGTGAATGCGTGTGTGTGGAAATTTGGGGAAATTTGGTATTTGTTGGATGAATGAATGCGTGTGTGTGGCTCCACATAAGACTTTAACTTCACGGACTTGAGAATCCCGAGTTCCACGCCAAAAATCAGGACAAATTATTGTAGGTATGGACTTGACTTGAGATGGTTTCATACAACTGCATCCTGTGTAAGTAAACCCATAAATAGGGCCATAAATATAAATAATAATAAATAAATAAACAAAACACCTACACTACTCAAATCGTAGGCAAAAAAAAACTCATTTCCCTTTTTTTCCCCCAAACTAAGGAGGGACCAAATATACCATACAAGCTTTAAAAAAAACTTAAAAATTACAATACTGCCATCACAATTTTTTTTCCTTAAAAATTATAATGCAAGGATAATAATGATATTTCACACATTATTCAAATTAAATAAAACATATAGTACAACTAGTTTTTTTTTCTGTCTTCAATTTATAGGTTTATATATAAAAGGCAAGGAATGAGTTTTATTATAAATTTCTGAAAAGAAAAAAAAGGAGCTGCACACTGAAGAGCATACAAATCAGATATTCAATTTTTCTTTTTCTAATTTGTAGGGTCTGAATGGGAAGTTGATTGAGTTGGGGATAATGGATGAGAAGACTCGTGGAAAATTTGAATTGGAAGAATGAATGTGCGATATGTGGACAAGGTTTTGTGTCATCCAGAATAAAGAAAAACAAAAGAGAAAGTGATGCTCTTAATAATTGTGCTTTTCCGAAATTGCATGCGTAGGAGATAATTACAAAGAAATTATTGTTGAAAATGTTGCTAGACAATATATTTCAACCACTTCTATTTTTATATGGAACATGGAGAAAAGTTTGAGGGTATGCTAAATGGAACTCAACTTTTTTTTTTTTTGGATGCATCGGAGTAAATTCTTGACAAATAAGTTTCTGTACTTATTAGATAGTGCGTATTAGAACATTGGCCCAATGTTTGCTCTTTTTCTCCCCACGCAACTATTGACTTAGACTTGATATGGTGATTTGTCTTCCTACATGCACCAAACTATTTAATTACCCAACCTGACTTGCAGGTATTGACTCGACTTGGCTTGGCTTGACTTCGCTATGCACAAATATCTTCTTGCAAATGTTGACTTGAATTAACTGAAAAGGATGATTTTGTAAAATATAATAATAATAATAATTGGAATAACGAGTTGTTGAGGCCCAAAAAATCCACGCTTCAGCCCAAATAAATTCTCAGCCCAATGCGATACCTTATCGAGAAGAAACCCGATTTGGGCACGCAAAAGTTCATCATATGCGCTTGCACACATGCCACGCCAAGCAAATAAGCATCATGCCACGCTACTGTTTGTGCCTAATAAATCACGGTCATAAATTGACTGAAGGGACTTCCTCTCGGCCCTAGCACCTACTCATGAATTGAAACGGCCACGTTTCGTTAGGCATTTCGCCTTCCTGAAAACAAAAGAAAAGCTGCAAAGGCAGAATCCTCTCGGTCTCGCGACCGCGGTATTATAGGCTGAAGCCGAAGGCCGTAAAAGACACGGCTGAAGATACTGTGGTCAAATCGCCACGTGGCCTCAGGGTCCCACACCCCATTTAATGAAGTAACGCCGCTGACTATCGTAGCAAACCCACTAGTCGCAAGAAGCATTTAATGCACGAGGGAAGAAGGGAAGTGACTGAAGTCAGGATTTGGTGATGGAAATCAGAGTGGTTAGGCGCAAACATCCTCACAAGTATTCTTACAACTTGAGGTCAAATCACCAACCACCAGACCAGGGCATTGAATGCGTTCCCACGGCCAAGGGATATCAGGGCGGTGGCCAAGATTTACCGGGAATTATGGGGGTCACACCACCATGCTTCACGATCCCAAATGTCGATTTGACCACCCACTTGCCCCGATCAGGCTCCACCACGCAGATCTTTTCAGCCTCGATTGTCCCTCCAGGACTCCCTCTATAAATACTAAGCTCAAGACTACATTCAAATGGTTCAAACACCAAACCAAAAGCCTCCCACGGAGCAAATTATATTTTCCTGTAATGCACTTTCAATACCTTTATTTGCTTTCCTTGGAGTAGTGGTAGATTGTAAGGAAAATCCATTCATCAATATATCATACGACCCTTGATTTTCAAGGTGCCGGAGCACCATCTCTGTTATCGTCTCATTCACCCCATATATCATATGACGTCGCTCTCTGAGCAACGCGCCGGAGCACCGCCTAAAACCCGCCACCAACACCACCACTAAACGGCCTTGTAGCTCAGGCCGTGAACTTGACGGCCGAGATCAATTCCTCTCTCGGCCACAATTGTTTGATTATGAGTCGAACTCAAAACAGGCGCATCATTTAACCATCCTCTACCCGAACCTCATCACCATCTCGATGCACGGTAGACCGTGCTGGTACGCCCACGCACAACCACACCGCATCCAAAAGAAGGACGTCACGTGTTAACGCACATCCCCTCGGCCCGGAGCACCAGGCCGTGAGATTTGCGCAGCCAATAGCTACAAGCTTAAGTAGGCCCAAGCCACGCAAGATGTATGGGGCTTGCTTGAGTGGGTTGTGGTATGAATGGTAATAAGTTGTCATGAGGCCCATTGATGAGTCGAGAAATGGAGGTTCAGGGTTGCTTGGGAGCCTCGAAACCCAAGCCCATTTCTTAGGCCCAAACATATGGGTGAGCACAAAAAGAAAATATCCCAACCAAAATAGCCTATTGACTCAACCAAAAAAACCCAACACCTCAAGCCAAACCTTGGTGAAGTTGGCCCATTTATTTGATAAGCCAATCCATTGTTCTTGAAGGCCCACATAAATAAAATAAAGATCTGCAAAACCATCAGCACTTTGCTGGAGAACAGAAGCCACGAAGAAGCATGGAAGACCACGTTGGTTGCCGGGAGGGAAGGAACAAGTTTTCAAGCAAGAAACTTCCAAATGACCAAAGGATATTGGAGCATAGATCACCCTTTGAACCAGCATGCATACCCATTTCTTTCCCTCATCAGACCTAGCCTTGGAAGAGAGGAGAAAAGAAGGAAGAAAGATGGCTGAAAATAGGAGTCTGAAATGGCGGCGGGGAAAAGGGGCCTTGAGCTCCCAAAAATCCCTGATTTTGTGCAAATGGGTAGAGTGGATTTCACCAAAAAATGATGATTGAAGAGATGAGGGGAGAAATGAAGGAAAAGACTTGGCCAAATTAGATAGAATCCATTATAGTTTCTTGGAAAATGTTAGCTTCCAGCGGCTATAAAAGAGGGCCTCTTCTACCTAACAAGCATCAACCACATCAAAGAGCAAGCTTCCTCTCTTACTCCCAAAACCCAGCAATTTCGTGCTCAGCCCATCATTTTCACTTAGTTTTCCCTCTTGGCAAACTATTCTAACACTTGACAGAGTCTCTGTCAAGCTTCCGGAAAAACACTCAAGCCATATTTTTCTCCCTTTTCCTCATGCTCAACCAAACCTCTCTGCAAAATCCTTTCTCTCCAACCTTAATACCCCATCTTTCTCCTAAGAACACTTAGTTTCTCTTCAATGCTAAACTCATGACAATTTTGCTCCCATGCCACAAGCTTCTCATGCAAAGCCAAGAATTTATCTGTAAGTTGCTATTGTTTTGGTTGGTGAAGATAACCAAGATGCTTCCTAAGGCTCTACTGCCCTTTCGAAGCATTTTGGGGCTTGATTTTCGAACTCAGACAAAGGGAACAATTTCATCAATCTGCCCTTTACGGCAGCCCAGCCCATTTATAGCTGCCGGAAGAAAAAAGCCCATACACGAGTAAATTGGAATAACGAGTAAAATGATGATCTTCTTGCATATCATGTGCATTGACGTTATAGACTTTATTACTGAATTTCACGAGTAAATTGGAATAACGCTAACTTTCCCTCTAAATAAATCCGAAATTTTGGTTGCATATTTCTAAGTTTGCCCCAAAATCATATCCCATGGCTTGGGCTAAAATTTTCCAATTTATTAAGTGAGATTGTACCAAAAAAGAATATAATACCTATACACGTGGTACATACGTGTCCTTCGACAATATTACGTGGATCTCTTTATAAAGGAATTTTTGTAGAAATGTCATCTGAACTGAAGTTATACCTTAGTTTCAATTTGTCACCTTAAAGAAAAATTTAAGAGAAATGTCATCTTAATTAATCAAAATCCATGATTTGTCATTTGACCTTAACACCATCTAATTTTTCATCCATTTTTAAGGGTATTTTAGTCTTTCCATTTGGATTCGTCATCAAAATCCATGTTTAAAACTAATAAGTTAGATGATAAATTCAGATACAGTAATTTGGAGAGTTTTGAGAAGTGGGGTTTCTGAAACCACCCCTTTCAAAGAGTTGATGCCAAAATCGATTTGTATCAGTTGGACATTTGGCCAAGACTTTCAGGTATTCTTCGATTTAATCGATTGGTATTAAGATACAAGATTTCAAAGATGAAAAGCTCATAAGATTAGTTAATGACCCCGCAAGGCCATTCCAAGAGAGATCCAAAAAAACTCTAATGAGTTTCGAGCACACATAGGCAATAGTTGAACAAACTTGGATAGTTGTCCACTGAGATGATTGCTTTGAAGTCACAATGATTGCAAACTACATAGCCCAGCAAAAGATTTCAAGTTCCCTCCTTCAATCTGGTTATTATCTGGATAAAGTTCTAACCATTTCGATTTTCTTAAGAGCTACGGACTGCCTATATCTTTTTAAGTGCCGTATGCTGTCTTTTTATTGATTGGTCAAAAGGAAAATCTTGGTCATAGCAAGGGTTTAGGGTAGATATTGTTGTGTATAGAATGACAATTAATTGAGGGTGGAAAATAATGTATATGCCAAAATATCATGTCTCCTTGAGAAGCTGTGGACAGAAGGCGTAGGACTCTTTCATCAGCGTGGACACAGTCCACAGACCCATGAGTTTTCATGTATTTTGGGAGCCTGCTACTAATAAATTAATTGGACCAGCCTTTGTGAAACCGACAAAATATCAATGCTTACTTAGTAGGACCATCCACACAAACAAGTTTCCTCCTAATTTTCTTCCCACGCAACTATTAACCTAGACTAGACTTGAGAATTGGGATGGTGATATGCCTTCCAACCACGTAACTATTAACCTAGACTAGACTTGAGAATTGGGATGGTGATTTGCCTTCCAATGCACACAGACTCTTTCTCACTATTGTCTTGCAGTTATTGACTGGGCTTTACTTGACTTGACATGGTAAGTTGGCAACGGTGCATTTTTGTGTCCACTCAACCTTTTAAATTTGCCTCCCATCCAAGGCGGGGCACAAGCTACAATTATCTTCTTGCAAATATGGACCTTGACTTAACTGAAACATATGTCAATATATTTATTGATACTTATATAGTAAAGCATAAATCTTCCACCAATCACATATTAAAACAAAGATAAATTAATATTACATGTAGTGTTACAATTATTCATAAAATTTCTCATATTATAATTTATAGTGATGATCACAAAATTCTTAAGTAGGAAGGAGTATATTTAGTGCTGAATTTGATTGCTAAAGTTTCGGAGCAAGGAAGTCAAAGTGTCCTTCATTTTGTATCCAACTCCACCTTTATTAGAGAGATGGTGCACAAGTTGGTCTATAAAGATGGTCTCCCTAGTAATCAAGGCAAAATTACATGGATTATTTGTGACTTTTAGCCAACTCTTTATGAATACGGATGGAAACATATTCCCAATGGGGAATATGGTCCTCAATGTTTGTGTGGATGGATAATCCTTGACGGGGACTAGGCAAGGATGAGGATGAGAAGTTTTTGCCTTTCAACTTGAGATGATATTCTTTCCTTTCAAATGCTTCTCCATCATTCTTATAACGTGTTTAAGATATTTGCACAGATAGACAGAAAACCAAAATAGAGCCATATTTTATACAATACCGGACAAGAAAAAGAGTACGAATCATTTGCCCTTGCTAGATATTAATTTCCACAATGCAATTAAGTAGCTAGATATTGACTTGACTTAAGTGATTGGATAAATTTTGGAATTCTGAATTAGTTTGGATCACACTTTGTCAATATTCAATTGACTTGATAGATAAAAACAAGGACTTTTCATATGTAAGTAAGCTCATAAATAGGGTCCTAAATATAAAACAAATATTAAATAAACACCAACAATATCTTAGGAAAAAACTCATTTCACTTCTTTTTTTCCAAAGTAAGGAGGGACCAATATACCATACAAGCCTTTAAAAAAACCTAAAAATTACAATACTGCCATCATAGTTTTTATTTTCCAAAAATTATAATGTAAAGATAATAATGGTATTTCACACATCATTCAAAATAAATAAAAAATATAGTACAACTAGTTTTTTTGTTTTGTTTTTTTTCTTCAATGTATAGGTTTTATATATAAAAGGCAAGGAATGAGTTTTATTATAAATTTCTGACGAGCATACAAATCAGATAATCACTTTTTCTTTTTCTAATTTGTAGGGTCTGAGTGAGAAGTTGATTGAGTTGGGAACTAATGGATGAGAAGACTCGTGGAAAATTTATATTGGAAGAATGAATGTGTGATATGTGGACAAGGTTTTGTGTCATCCAGAATAAAGAAAAACAAAAGACAAAGTGATGCTCTTAATAAAAGTCGTGGACGGGGTTTTGTGGCAACTTTGTATTGCTCGTGCTATTGGAGTTCGTGGGCATACTGCTAATAAAAGTTTTCCAATTTATTAAGTGAGATTATACAAAAAATAATATAATACCTACACACGTGGTACATAAATGTCCTTCGACAAAATTACATGAATCTCTTTATAGAGGGATTTTGGTAGAAATGTCACTTGAACTTATACCTCAATTTCAATTTGTCACCTTAAAGAAAAATTTAAGAGAAATGTCATCTTAGTTAATTAGTCTTTCCATTTGAATTTGTCATCAAAATCCATGAAGTTTAAAACTAATGAGTTAAATGATAAATTCAGATACTGTAATTTGGAGAGTTTTGAGAAGTGGGTTTTTGAAATCACCCCTTTGAGAGAGTTCATGCCAAAATCGATTTGTATCAGTTGGGACATTTGGCCAAGACTTTCAAGTATTCTTCTGCTTAATCGATTGGTATTAAGATACAAGAATTTCAAAGAAGAAAAGCTCGTGAGATTAGTTAATGACCCCGCAAGGCCATTCCACTAGATATCCAAAAACTCTAATGAGTTTTGAGCACACATAGGCAATAGTTGAACAAACTTGGATAGTTGTCCACTGAGATGATTGCTTTGCAGCCACAATGATTGCAAAGTACATAGCCCAGCAAAAGATTTCAAGTGTCCTCCTTCAATCTGGTTATTATCTAGATAAAGATCTAACCATTTCGATTTTCTTCGGAGCTACGGACTGCCTATATCTTTTTAAGTGCCGTATGCTGTCTTCTTGTTGATTGGTCAAAAGGAAAAACTTGGTCGTAGCAATATAGGGTAGCCTCTACTACTTGATTAGTTTTCGAATTCTCGATTGGTTTGGATCACACTATGTTGATTGCCTTGATAGATGAAAGCATACTGATTGACTTGATAGATGAAAGCAAGATGCATGTTGAAGAGTGATGAGTCGATTTTATATTATATATTTAGCCTCATTCTTAGTATATTTTGGTTAATATTTTG